TGAGTAACAAACTTTCACAGTCCCTGTTCTCGAATTTACAGGACCAACCAACTTTCTAGCTTTAATGACCGATCTCAAAAGTAAGTATTAAGTAACCACACAGAGGATATTCCCACTGTATCCCACCCCAGCTCCGCCAGCGGCACCCACCAGGTCGGCGGTGTGCAGTCGGCAGATCTCCACCAGCCGGGCGTTGAAGCCGGCGGCCGCCTGCAGCACGGGCTGCGGCACCAGCTGACTGAGGTCGCCGTACTCGGCTTGCAGCCGGCGGCTGACGCGGGTGGCCGGGTCGGGACGGGCCGGGCCGCCGGCGCGCCGCCACCGGTACAGGGCGTACAGCAGCGCCGCCGCCGCCGCCGCCGAGGTGCCCAGAGCTGTGGCACAGCCCAGAGCAGCCGCCGTCCTCATACCAGCTCCGGTGCCTGTGGCGGACCAGGCCGGTCACGATATATATTCCCTTCCATAGCATGTGGAAGTATGAAACCGTTTTCAGTTCGAATGTTCGGATTCTGAATGATAGCTGTAAGGTTATACCTAACTGGGAAAAATATCTGAATATTGCAAGACTGAATTAAATTTTCATTATAATACAAAACTAACAACAGCCAACCAAAACATCTACCTTAGCATACCTACCTGTGTATAATGGATAAAACAAATATGTGTATGATACCATAATGATAAATGTTTACCTGTCTTACACACATAAAATCGTTACCCTACATATAATAAAATATGTGCAGATCATGCCAATCCCAGACGGTGTCAATGACTCATATTAACCAGCGCCCGGCTGGGGGTCCTGGATTTCCACGCCCTGCTGGGGGGGGGGGGGTGTTTGAACACCCCCCCCCCCTTCTAACTCGGCTCCTGGGCCACGTAGCGATACGCGGAAGGCGGCGTTCGAAAGAGCGTCAAAAATAATGACGAAATCACTTCGGTCAATTTTTTGGTCAGGTCAAAGGTCAGGTCACCAGAGGTCATTGAAGGCAAAATTTCGCCGATTTCCAGGTCGAATGTCGAAAATTTCCAAGAAGCCAACGCATAACTCGGGAACCAATAGAGCTACAGCGCCGCGGAAAAGCGCATTCGATAGCCCTATTAACGCCCTTTCTGAGTAACTTTCTCAGATTTGACCTAACGTCAACGGTTTTGCCTGCAGGGGGCAAAAACTGCAAAAATAGCCGATTTTTTCGGAAACAGATTTTCTGCAATAACTTTTGACCCAAGCCTTGTACGAGCTTACTTTTACCGGCATCGTGTTCCTCTCGTCAAGACGCATCGAATGAACTGCAACTTGACCTTGAAAGGTCAACTTGAAAATTTGACCTCAGGTCAAGGTCATGACCTGACCGGAAAGGGTCATGTTGCATATCAGTCGATCCGTATCGTCGAGCTGAACACATCTAAGGCGTTTTCATCGCTCTAGCATGCCTCTATCAAAAGTTATTTGCGAAAAACTGTTAGATACCATTCGTGACCTAAGATGACCTCAGGGCATAAACAGGGGTCACGGACACCATTTTCATGTTCAGTGTGTCTAAACCACTTGTAGTTCAGTGTTTGGGAGTGTTTATAATGTCTTTCGTCCAAAAGAGGCGCATTTCAATTTTCTCCCATTGACTTATAATGGGGAGGTCGCAAAATTGACCTGACCTTAGGTCATCGATATCAAAATTCTGAGATATACATTTTGTACATGCTATTGCTCTTAGCAACCGCTGAAAGTTTCAAAGCGATCGGTCACTCGGTGTAGCTATGACAGACATTGAAACTTTTTATGAGGTGAGGTCACTTCAAGTGACCTGGTGACCTGACCTTGAATGACCTTGGTCTGAAATTTTCACAACATGTGTAGAATTGATGTATGATAAGGTGTACCAAAAACCGTTTTTGAGATATTCGCGAAAAACCACAAGGGGGTGTTCAAACCCCCCCCCCCCAGCAGGGCGCGGGTTAACAGCAGATGATCAGTACAGTAACAATTCTACCTAAAAAAGGATATGAACACATTAATTATTAATAATCACCCTAGTTCCTTATTAGTATGAAAATTCATTTAGCCACACATCATCATCCAGGTATCAGCAGCATAAAAAGTGCTAGGTGAAAATCCCACTGTATATTTAAAAAAAGCTAAATGGCAAATGAAATTAGTCTGGGATATCAAAATGAGAGCAAGAATGAAGCAGCATGCCATCCTTCTTCATTACCTGGGGACTTTGGAATGATGCTATCAGTATGTGATGCATTTAACACAGTTAACACAACTGTATAGATTCACCACACAGCAAGCATGCTCAGGGCATAGTAATCTACCCAGTACCCACTACAGGGGCGAAGCCACCCACCGTTCCGTATCCTGTGCGGCAAGGGCAGGAAATGGGATGGTTAATTGTTAATATTGGGTTTGGGAACTGATATAATGTCAAGCAGTACCACTCTCATCTGATATCAAAAGCCTCCTCAGTAATTGCAGCAAGAGATAACTAATGTCGAACAGTGCCACTCTCATCTCATATCAAATGCCTCCTAAATAATTGCAGCAATATGTAGGTACCTATCAAAATCAACTGCTCGAGTAGCATGTGCCTAAAATCAACTAAATGCACCATACAGAAGAATGATGCCAAAATGTTTTAAAGTTTATTTGGCCTCACTAAGTGACCATCCTTTTATAAGCATTGCAAAATGATTCAGTCCGGAAAATTGAAGGGGCAACTAACTTTGCTCATCAATCAAATTAGCAAACAGCTTTCCTCTACATAGCTTCACCAGCCCCCACTCTGTAAGCATTTAACAGTCACCCTGTACAAATCTTAGAGGATAAAATATTCTTTACAACCATGAAATTACATAAATGTATATGTGTAGTGTAGGTAACTGAATGCAATAGCCTGCATAATCAATCATCAACCACCTAAAACTTCCCTGCAGTACTAGCCTAGGTAGTGTCACTGTCATGTTATCAGCATACCTATATACTCAATATACTCAATATATATTTCGGGAGAGAAGGCTTAGTTGTCGCCTATTGATCCCGCTCAAAACACGTTACAATGTACATACAGTGCACAACATACATACAGTACGTTTTGTTCATTCCTGGCATGTCTCATATAATGCTAATCTCATATAATGTCTCATATAATGCTAATTGCTGCCACATAAAAACTGAACTTGATAGTGGTACTCAACAGGTGTTTAACAAGGCAAAGTTAAGCATTTGGCGAGATATAGCGAGGTAAAATCAACATCAGTATATTACCATACAATCATTACAACTTATTACAATATTCAGAATTAATAATCACGCCAAAAAGGCAATTACCAGCATTATAGTCGATTCCATATCAGTTGGGCAAACTAGACCTTTGGAATCAAAATATGGAGGCATCAAAAGATTGATTCCTTATGACCATATTTGGGCATAAATGCAGACCATTTCTAACTTACCAATCACATAAAAATAAGAGAGTGTTTCAAGAAGGAGCATGCCTGATCTTGAACAGAAATGCTTGAAGTATCTACTAAGCAAAATAATATTGCTCCTATCATAACAATTTGAATTTTATAGGTAGTGAAAGGCAATCAAGGAATTGATTCACTTTGAACAGATAATCATAATATTGATTCCCCATCAGCTGGCTAATCATTATTTTGATTCACAGGTAATGTTAACAGATAGGCAACAATGACTTGCAAGAATACAGCATTTATCTTGCTATTATTCTCATTTAGTGGTATCCTCAGCACCACAACAGATACCTATAGCATTGTTGTACTTTACCTTCACTACATTTGATAACAATTCACATTTTTTAAATGTCAAGAATACAAAAACTGAAGCAACAGGTAAAAACCATATAATAATTAAATATAAAAGCACTACAACAATGATAATTAGGGGTTTGAAAATTTCATTTTGCCATTTTACACAAATACTGATTGTTTAGTATGTGATTTGTGATACAAAAATAGCTTACAGTGTGATTTCCTCAAAACAGCTTTTACGTGATGGACAGTGCCTCTGTCTTTTTCCCATTCACAAGGCCAAAGGGACAATTTCTTAGTTTTGAGGTAACACTTTTTGCAAACCTACCACATTTTTCTACCTTTTTAAGGTAAAATCTCACCGTCATGGGCCTTTTTTCAACCGTAACGATACATTTGAAGTTAAAAGTGTACCTAAATGAATCAAAAAATTGATTCCATGCCCATATTTGGTCATGGCTCCTCCCACCAGAATCAAATTATTGATGCCTCCATATTTTGATTCCAAAAGTCTAGTTTGCCCAACTGATATAAAGCCTTTCGATATTTTGCGCCATTCAATACTTCTCCATTCAAAACTTTGAGCTTTTGAATGTAAGAGCTGCAAGCGTGGTGTAAATATATAAAGAAATTTTATCAGGGCACTTCGACTGCAAACTTGATATGGAACAGAGCAAAGCTGACAAATTTCAAATAAAGCAAAAAACCTAGATGGACACTAACCTGTAAAAACACTCCTTACTCGTCTGATATATTGATACGAGATGCAGTCGTACAATATTCAACAACCTCGCAATTAACTCTTCTCTGTTAAACTTCGTTCGTTTCTTAGAAGAGATATGTTCCCGAAATATTATAATATATTCAACGCGAAAACAGCCAGTACAGCCCCTCTCACGCCTTTTTACACCCTCAAATACAAAGTCGACGCAAATCTGCACCATTATTGTCAACATCCTTTTCTTTAAACGGTAGCAAAACACTGGTCATAACAGTCGACATAAATCTCAATATTAACAGTGAATAAAATAGATTAGCTTTCCAAACTAATAATGTATTTAACACTTATTTTTGTAAAGTCCTCAAATTGGAGCTTTGAACAGATTTACCGAAAGCCCTTCATTTGTATCTTTTGGAAAAGAACCCAAATTTGTTCTTCCTTCATGGTGTATCGTAGAAGCTGCTTCCATATGAAACATTTGTGCTTCCATATGATCCCACAAATCAAAACAATGCGCATCAGCATAGGCGCTGAGGCTTCTAAGAAACAAGCCGACCAAAAGCCAAATTCAAGCTAAAATGCTAGCTGAATGACTGTTGTCGCGATCAGAAGGGTTACATGCAAATGAAATTGAGGTGATAGTGCTGTTCCTCAAAATAAATCAACCGAAGCTTTTCAAAATACAGGATCAAGGTCAAACGAGATGTCAGTGTTGTTTCAGTTTCTCTAATTAAAGTTGAACCACTCAAAGGAATAATGAAGGACGTCATAGAAAATAAGGAAGAGTACAAGGTTGGTTCCATATTCTAACATGATGATTGTACTTCAAGGGGTTGTCCCCAAACCAAAGGAAGTCTGATGCTGGTTTGTAGGGATCATCTATGCGATTTGTCATTTCATGTTGTCATTTTCATTTATATTGTCACCGCTTTATTAATCAATCTGTTACCTGTTGCCAATTGCGCGTCAAGTTTGTTTGTTATTTGTAAACCGGCCTGCCGCTGGCCTCAACCTTCCTAGTAACCGCTGTGCCATACGCTATAGAACGTGTCGTGCAAAGGTCACGGCGGCACCCCTGAGGCGGCCGCTGCCCGTACGTTTAGGAACCCATTGTCGTGACGTCATGCCTGTGAGCAAAGGTCGCGGTAGGGGCTCTCCCGGCAGCCGGACGATGACGCATACGTTAAGCTTGTCTCTCGCCGCGCCTGCGGGCATATTGGTAGTACTAGGGACGGCCAGCATATGACCGCGGCTTTCGGCGACATTGTCAATTCGTTTCTCGACTCTGCTGTTCGCTACAAGACAATACACATAGAAAACGGCTCGGGCATTTGGAGAAGAGCGGCTACTCTGAGGCGAGGGAAGAACACGGAGATTCACACAAACGACCTGACTAGGTTGCACCGGCCACAGTCGACCGAGGTGGGCTTCCGCGCCCTTAAAGACGCCTCTGACTGGCCATTGCGCTGACACCCTGGTCGGACCACGGTCATTGATCGGACCCTGCCACTGGTTCGTGCTCAGGCTGCCTTAGCGGGTAGACCTGCTCGACCAGACGCCCCACTGGTGGGCGAGTGCTCGGTTCCGACTTTCACCGCCGGTCCAACAGCGTTCTGCTGGTTCCCGCCGATCCGGTTACGACACCGCAAGTGCCGTACCGACTCGGGCGTCCCAGGTGGGCGTAACGGTTACCACACCAGTTCGCGACCCCCAGGCTCTGTCAGCCGTCGTACGGCTCTCGGACGGACACTCTAATAGATCAGCCACAGATCAATAGGTTGTCACAGACCGTCCGTCCAGCCAAGCGCTACCCACAGCGCAGTACGACATTGGTGACCCCGACGTGATCTCCGTTGTTCGACCTTAGCCTCTCGTCATGCCCGCGGACAGCGCACAGTCCGGCGCCGCAGCTCAAGACCCAGCCAGCGTTCCAGCTCCAGCCTCCGAGTCAACTCATCGGCCCATGGCTAGCTTCCGGCTACCACCATACTCTCCGGAAGAGCCCGACCTGTGGCTACTGCAGGTGCAGTGCGCTTTCGACGTCAGCGGGGTCGACTCCGACGAGCTGAGGTTTAAGCTCCTCGTCGCAAACCTCCCCGCCAACATCGCCGTCCAGGTCAAGGACGTCATCCGGTCATCTCGGTCTTTTGACGTGCTGTGTGCGGCGCTCCAAGCCCGCCTGGCACAGTCACGCGCCGACCGACTACAAGCCCTGCTCGGCCGCCAGCAGCTCGGCGATCAGAAGCCGACGGCGCTGTTGCGCTCAATGCGCAACGAGCTAGCCGCAGCCGGGGACGCCCCGGTTGATACAGAGCTCTTCCGTACCCTGTTTCAACAACGGCTACCGCAACCCGTCCGTGCTGCTCTCGCCCTCCTGCCAGCCGACAGCACGCTTGACGCACTGGCAGAAGCGGCCGACCGGTACCTGGAAGCTAGCGGACCCGACCCACGGCTATCAGCGATCGCGGCACAGCCGTACACACAGCCGGCACCGCCCATCGCTGCTGCAGTGACAGCCCCAGCGCCAGCTGCAACCCCTGCGCTGGACACCGTCATCGCCTCCCTGGTCGCTAAGATGGAGCGCCTGGAGGCCAGCAACCGACGACTCGAGGACGCCGTGCGACGCGACCGCAGCCGTTCCCGGCCGCGCCAGGCATCTCGCCAGTCACGCCGCCCGTCACCGGCTCGTCCTTCAACGCCGCCGCACGACGACACGCTGTGTTGGTACCACCAGCGATTCGGCGCCCAAGCGCGCCGATGCAAGTTGCCGTGCTCCTGGATCGCCTCGGAAAACTGAGGCGCCCCGTGCTGATGGCGCAAAGCACGGGCGCCCCTCCTGCCGCGCCACTCCTCTTCGTGAGGGACACGGAGACGGACCGGCAATTTCTAGTCGACACCGAGGCGCAGGTCAGCGTGCTGCCTCGCCGCTGCCTGCCCAACGGGTCTACGCTGACCCCTGCTCCTGTCGGCCAGCAGCTCGTCGCGGCAAACGGCTCACCGATCGCGGTGCACGGCACCTGCCTGCTGGACGTCACCTTGAGTCAGCAGCACCGCCTGAAACATCGATTCTTCGTCACTGACGTCACCACACCCATCTTGGGCACCGACTTCCTGGCCGCACATCACCTCGTCGTGGACGTTGCCAACCAGCGTCTCCTGCGGGACGGCACCGTCTGCGCCAGCGCCGAGCGGTCAAGGCTGTGCTCCATCGGAGTGCGTCTCGTCCGGGAGCAGGCTGCTGCTCGCTTCGCAGTTGTCCTCGCCCGGTACCCGGATGTGACCTCACCAAAACCTGGACCAACACCGGTGAAGCACAACGTGACGCACCACATCGTCACCAAGGGTCCACCGGTGTACCAGCGGCCACGACGCCTCCCGCTGGAGCGCCTTCAAATCGCACGTGCCGAGTTCAACAAGATGCTCCAGCAAGGCACCATTCGACCGTCCAGCAGCAGCAACAGCGGCAACAGCAGCAGCAGCAGCAGCAGCAGCAGCAGCAGCAGCAGCAACAGCAGCAGCAGCAGCAGCAGAGGCAACAGCAGCAATACCGGCAACACCACACTGCGGCTTCCTGGTGAGTTCTTCATCAGCAGCCAAGCCTCAGCAGCATCACCGGCCGGTTTCGTACAAGATCTGAAGCGCGCCATGTCTCAGGTGCGGCCGACACTCCCACGTCCGGTCCAGCGCGCCACGTACGTCCCGACGGCACTCCAGACGGCGACACACGTCTTCGTGCGCAGGGACTGTCACCGCTACCCGCTGGACGCTCCATACGACGGACCGTTCCCGGTTACCGAAAGGACCACCAAAACCATCACCATCGACCGTCGACAGAAAAAGGAGGTCATCAGCATCGACCGGTGTAAGGCCGCCTTCCTGGAGACGCCAGACGAATCCGGTCATCGACAGTCTGACCTGCCGACTGTGCAGCCGCACGGTACTCAGTCCAGCGGCCCGCCGGCCGCGCCACCGCTCAGCAATGAGCCCAGCGGCCCGGAGCTTCTGATCTACGGTGACGCACCAAATCGCCCTGCAGCTGTCGCTCGGGCTGACGCTGCACCATTGCAGCCTCAGCCGATACTACGGACGACCCGCTCCGGCCGCGTCGTACGACCTCCGGTGAGATATCGCCATGTCACTTTTGTCCGCGACATGTCTGGCGAGGGGGTACTGTAGGGATCATCTATGCGATTTGTCATTTCATGTTGTCATTTTCATTTATATTGTCACCGCTTTATTAATCAATCTGTTACCTGTTGCCAATTGCGCGTCAAGTTTGTTTGTTATTTGTAAACCGGCCTGCCGCTGGCCTCAACCTTCCTAGTAACCGCTGTGCCATACGCTATAGAACGTGTCGTGCAAAGGTCACGGCGGCACCCCTGAGGCGGCCGCTGCCCGTACGTTTAGGAACCCATTGTCGTGACGTCATGCCTGTGAGCAAAGGTCGCGGTAGGGGCTCTCCCGGCAGCCGGACGATGACGCATACGTTAAGCTTGTCTCTCGCCGCGCCTGCGGGCATATTGGTAGTACTAGGGACGGCCAGCATATGACCGCGGCTTTCGGCGACATTGTCAATTCGTTTCTCGACTCTGCTGTTCGCTACAAGACAATACACATAGAAAACGGCTCGGGCATTTGGAGAAGAGCGGCTACTCTGAGGCGAGGGAAGAACACGGAGATTCACACAAACGACCTGACTAGGTTGCACCGGCCACAGTCGACCGAGGTGGGCTTCCGCGCCCTTAAAGACGCCTCTGACTGGCCATTGCGCTGACACCCTGGTCGGACCACGGTCATTGATCGGACCCTGCCACTGGTTCGTGCTCAGGCTGCCTTAGCGGGTAGACCTGCTCGACCAGACGCCCCACTGGTGGGCGAGTGCTCGGTTCCGACTTTCACCGCCGGTCCAACAGCGTTCTGCTGGTTCCCGCCGATCCGGTTACGACACCGCAAGTGCCGTACCGACTCGGGCGTCCCAGGTGGGCGTAACGGTTACCACACCAGTTCGCGACCCCCAGGCTCTGTCAGCCGTCGTACGGCTCTCGGACGGACACTCTAATAGATCAGCCACAGATCAATAGGTTGTCACAGACCGTCCGTCCAGCCAAGCGCTACCCACAGCGCAGTACGACAGGTTCACAGTTACGAGTCGGGTTGGATGCCGACGCCGAGGCTTGGTTGTGTTGGTGGCAGGTGATTGTAGTCCATGGTGAAGTTCATTCATCTGTTTCTGGAGTGTAACATGATCCTGGAGCCTTCCCCTGAGGTCTGAAACAGCTGCTACCAGTGATTGTTGATGCTAACACATGGCAAACCATGAGCATGACTAGGCTACAGTTACAGGAGGGCTTACTGAGCAGTGAGCTTAGGGGGCAGGGGCTGCCTCAGGCTGCCTCAGCCCTAGTTGAAAAGCCCTAATAGTTACTTGTTTACTATTATGATGTAATGTCCTGGGCACAAAATGACCTTAGTAGTTGGCATGCCCTAAACCCCCAATAAACAAACAATTACAAGCCTCTGTTGAGAAAGTGGTCACTTGCCTCATATCTCTGGCCATGGAAAACTGGCTAGTGACTATGCAATAAACAAAGCAAATAACATTTACTTGGCAGTAGCTTGTAGCTGCCTGTGGTTACAGCCAAGGCTATATAAACCTGAAAGGGCTTATGCTGAAACCTGAAAGGGTTACAGCTGAAAGGGCACTCTTATATCAGAAAGTTGAGGGATCTTCAGTTGCAGTTAATTATCCATGATATGCTCTCAGCTCTGATCTGCAACTCGCCTATTAGCAAGTCATCTGCATCAATAAACCTTCAGAAAATCAGGAATGGTTCTTCGGTGCTTCATCCTCACAATCTCTGTGAGGTGTGAGATCAGCCATAACCTGAGTGCCAGATCAAAGAAGCTGCTGCTCCTGGTACATGATGCTGAAAGTCCCAGGCTAGATATCGATAGGGATGCCATGCACCTGGATACTGACCATTGTGGACAGTTGTCTGGCTATGAATTAAGTCAGGCACAGTTATATGGCGACAGCACAGCCCTGATGACTGCCTCAATAGACAATAACAGCCAGAACTGATAAAACCTCTATAGGATCACTCAATTGCTAGAGGAAGCTTTAAGTCATGGTTAGGGCCTATCATTGTGCACACAAATAACCATGACAGCCTTTAAAAGATTATAATTTTTTTTTGTGTTTTGTCATCCTAAATGGCTGTCTGAAGGAACATTCAGTACTGTGATGAGCTTAGTACTGCTCTAGCCTCTAGCTTGATAATTATATTATGTTTGGCATCATTGGTATCACTGGAAACTTTTCTTGTTCATCCATGTGCATCTCACTGATTTCCGATGCAAACACGCAATGGGAGCACAATAGGTACTAACATCATCTTTGCAATAACACGGCGAAACAAACCCAGATGTGCCCTCATGCCCCCGCGGTCGGTGACCTGCCGTCGCCCCTGCCGCCGCGCGCTCGGCACACCTGTCGTGGTCGCCGGCACACCTGGTCCCCGGGCTGTCAGTCGCTGCGCCCGTATCGTCGGTACACCGTCCGCCTCGCCGAGCGTCCGGCCGGACTGTTGCGATCCGGGAATGGTTGCCTTATTCTGACTAGTAACTTGGAGTAAACTGCGACGTGGGGTGGTCTCTCGGACGACATGGTTCTGTGGAAGCTTCCGCTTACTTGCGATTCGATAGAAGTCAGTGCAATTTGTGAGAATTATTGCTCTTGGTGACGTACTACCGTGTTCTCGTATCGGTAAATGCCGTGAGAAGCTATGCGTGACGTGATCGGTTTTATCGCTACTGTTTGATAAAGCACAACGCCCGTCGGTGGCGGTTCGTTTCTCCAATATGGCGACATTTGGACTCGGGGACGTGCACGGCCCATCTGGTCTGTCACAGGTGACTCGCAGTCAGTGAGTGTGACTCAGTGAGTTTGGCTCGACTCCCCGGCGACCCGCAGGTGCCATCGATCGCGACTCAAAAGTCATACCCGGTGGGAGGACAGGTGTGATCCGTGAACGCCCGGCGACCGAGGCGGGCTCAGTGTCAGTGTGCCAGAGCCGGACATAGTGTGACGGAGGCGGATATGGTGTGCCGGATGTAGGCACAGTTTGACGAAGGCAGATATCAATGTGGCCGAGCCGGGAAACGGCAGTGAAGAAATAGCGTAGCAGACTGAACAGACGTAATTGACTGCAAGATCGCGTAGTGGAGGCGCACAAATAGATTGTGAATAGCTCTCCAGTACTCCCACCGTCGGTTGGGACCACAGCGGTTGCGGGTGATCGACTCGCCTTGTTGGACATCCCGCAGCGCTGCGTCCCCCTCGTATCAGCCTGACATTTGCCTGTCGCCCGAGAACCGCACAATGTGACATGGTGGTGCGGCTGTCTGTCCCTGCGGCGTGGCGTGGCGTGGCAATATGTGACAGTCTGCGGAGGGAGTGTGTCGCGGTACAGCGTCGCCCGGTGCGGCTGTGAGACTGTGCGACGGTGCTATACCGATAGACGGACACAGTGTTCAGGCTCCAGGCATGTATCCTTCAGTGAACACCAACTGGGCTAAGGTATGCACTTGCGGAGAATATCTGGGGGTCGTTTGTGTTGTGTTTGGCTTCTTTTTATCTTAGTTCTTCTCTGCGATGTGTCGAAGCGGCTAGTGTCGGTCACGCACGGTGTGCTTATTGAACGCGATTTTTTACGCGGCTTTTTTCTAGCTTTACACCCGTAACAGCTGTTCTGTGTTCACTCAACTGTTCATCTAACAAACCATCCCACTCTGAAGCACTCAGCCTGGCTAACCCCGTGCCCTACGTCATACAGCGCTGCACTGCACACCTCAAATACCCCTATAGTGTCCGATAGTGCACCCCTGTGCACCCATATAGCCTCTAGCGTTGTATCCGTCCATACTTGGCAGCCTCTAACGTTGTACCCCTCTGTACCCACAGCGCCTGATGGTGTACCCAGAGGAGGAGGAGGGCGACGGACTGCGCCTGCCGCTCTGATGGTGTATCCCTGTGTTCCCCGCAGCGCCTGATGGTGTACCCAGAGGAGGAGGAGGGCGACGGGCTGCGGCTGCCGCTCTCGCCGGTCGGTCAGCGGGGATACGGCCTGGACCGTAACCGGCGCTCCTCGGCCGAGGACTTTGGCTCCACCAGCGAGGAGGACGAGATGGTGCTCCATCCGCTGGAGAGCGTCCTCAAACAGATCAGAGAAAGGTCAGCAGACGAGAGGGAGCTGAAGGGGGCGGGCTGGGTCAGTGACTGGACTGGAGTGGGTGCAGATTGTTAGCCCCCGGATTGGATGGGGAGGGGCGGGGTCAGGTGCCGGACTTGCTCGGGGGGGGGGGGAGGGGGAGGTAGGGTCAGGGCTCGGGCTGGGCGGGGAACTGGGGGTGGGTTGACTGGTGAGTCACGTCAGGGCCTGCATAAAACGATGGGAAGGTGAAGCAACGAGCCAGCATAAAATGGGCCGACGAAGACAGCTATATGTCTTATCGAATAGGTAGATGAGAGGCCGGAGTCAGTTATAGGAGACAAGACGACAGAAGGCATTCACCGAGTCATTCCGAATCACGAGTCATTCCGCAAACACAAACGTCATATTGGTTTGTCTGTGCCCGGCAGGCCGGTCCAGCCGCGCCGCTGGGCCTACTGCTGCTCGGGCGTCGTGTTCGCCGGCATGATCGGCCTGGTGGTCGGCTTCACCATGGCCTACGGCCTGTTCCTCTCGCTGGAGGCGCCGTGTGCTCACTCGCGGGTCTGGCTCACCGGTTCCGACCACGTCCACCAGCGGCTGCTCAGCGACCTCCGGCCAGAGAACGTCGCCAACTTCCTGAGGTCAGTCCGGCGGCGACGGCAGCGCCGGCTGGTGGCGCGGAGGGGAACTAAGGAGTGCTGCCGGTGGGGGGCTGGGAACTGCCGGTGCTGTGTTTGGTGAAGGGTTGTTGATTTGGGTGCCGGATTTGGTGCTGGTGGTCCCGGAAATGGTGCTGGTGGTGGGGCCTTGGTATGTGAGGAGTGTGTGCTGCTACTTGCATGCCTTATGGAATTGTACTCGGTTTATCCCGCGCCCTGGTGGGGTCTGTTTATAACGCGACCTGGTGGGGGGGGGGGGGGGGCTATTTTTTGCCCCCCCCCCCTTGTATCTCCGAAACTACTGGACGGATCCGCAAAATTCAAACGGCGTTCGAAAGGCCTGTCAAATTTGTCGAGGGAAACCAAATTTCATTGACCTCGGGGTCACCGATGACGTCACAGGTCAGGTCAAAGATGAAATGTTTCACCGTTCACGGGTCTTCTAAGGAATGCGCTATAACACCGAGGAAAACGCATTTTGTCGAGAATCAGCGGTAGGGCGTCAGTTGCCTAGTAGATATGTTGCTATTAGAGGTCACTGGCAATACCAGGTCAGGTCAGAGGCAGTGTGGCCAAATTGGTGATGTTGCGGGAAAATTCACCCCCAATGAAAAGTATAATGACATCCTCAGAAATTTTAAAATTACATCATCACAACGTTTTTGTTGTGAAAGCATACCTAGTGAAGGAATAAAGACTAAAAATGTTCCAATGTACGATTCACACCGTCATACTCGTACTGTCGCGCTTGCAATGTTTTTTTTCATCTTTGATGACAATATTTGATTTTTTTTTTACTTTTCGCCAGATTTTGACGTCAGGTATAGTTTTTCCACATAACTTGTAAAAACTGCACCTAAAATGACACTGAAGACGAGTTTTTTGAAAATAGTGACATCCTCATACAACTTTTTTATACATCCTCCCCCCTAACGCTAAACCAATTTGGCCACACTGGTCAGAGGTCAGGTCACCAAGGGTCACAGGTCAGGTCACATGAGCCCAACTTTACTAAGGTTGTGTGATACATGTTTTATGGCCAATTTTTCATTTCCAACTCAATGGTGTTGGTTATAAGACTATCAGGTACGGCTAAGGTCACTTTCTGGTGAAGTTTAGGTCAAGGTCAGGTCAAGGTCAGGCCAAAAAAGGTCAAATTTTAAAGTTGATAGTTTTGCATAAAATGGGTATTGATTCGATGCAGCTCGTCACGGCGAGTCTAATGGTGGTCTTTGTTTTGCGCTACGGGGTCTAGAATTGCTAAAAATTGAGTTTGAAAATTTGACGTCATCAATTTTGAACAGTTTTTTCGCTATAACTTCGCCAAAAAAAGAGGTATCAATCTTAAATTTGGTATGTGGATGGTAGGTGGTAAGGACTATCACATATATTCCGATTTTTGCGAAATTCAAAAAACTTTTTGGATTTTTGATTATTATATCCAAAAAATCTATTTTTTGATTTTTGGGGGTCAAAATCCAAAAATTTCAAAAATCCGAGATAACAGTTTTGTAGCCCTGTCCAATCGACAGCTTTTATGTCTTTATCATTTTTCTGTATTTGCAAAGCTATAGGCCTGACAGCTCTTCCCGCGAAACCCTTTTTTGGGTCGAAAACGGCAGAACATGACGTCACTCTGACGTCATTTCCGGCCAACCTATCATAGCCTTTGGAAAATTTTTGGTCACAATGTGTAAAATTGATGTCCGGGAGGGTACTGAAAGTTTGGTGACGATCGGCGCAGCGGTTCTGGAGATATATCGAAAAGTCTGGAGGGGGGGGGGCAAAAAATAGCCCCCCCCACCAGGTCGCGGGTTATTGGGAGTGACGGTTGAGAAACCGTATAGTTGTTGGGCGCTTTATGAGCTTGCTGTCCCACTGCAGCCAACGACACACAAGTAGATAACAAGCGAAACTGAGCAATTTGCAAATAAGATGTCACTTTTTGATAATTTGATCGAGACTGGCCTGGCCTTAATATTACGTGATATCCTGTTATGAGGGGCTGGGCAATGCAACGATGTTGATATTTGCCATTGCTCATTCTTTCTCGAAGCCAATACTTTGACGTCATACTTCTGTCATCTGCCGGTTCCGTAGCCGGTCCCGTAACTCAGTCGGTAGAGCGTTGGACTCCGCGTGGTTAGAGCACGCGTCCCGGTTACAGCAGTCCGGGTTTCGAGTGCGACGGGCGCCCGGTATGCCCCGATGCGGAGGCAAGCCCGATGATTTATGAGCCCGCTGGTGGGTATAGTTGCGGTTGGTGACAGGTCGTAGCCAGCTGAAGTCAGTGAAGGGACCAACCGTACGCAGCTATGTGCGTACGTTAAACTTTGGACTCTAAAATCTGCCATCGACGGGAACTGCACGATCGGAGGGTGAAGGCAAGGCCCAGAGTATAGACAGCGCAAGGCCAAGGCCAACGCAACAAACTCTGCTTAGCGCGCGCTCTGTTCTTGTGAATTTCTCCGTTAAAAAAAAATCGGACATTTTTTTTTAATTTGCGATGTTCATGCCACTGGGTCCAATGGGCAGTGGGCATGGACCCGCTGGGGTGAGTGCTTCTGTCTGAGACACCCGAGTCGGACAGCTTTACGCTGCCGCCAGCTGCACCCTCCGGCTGTAATCTGGTGCACGTTGCCGAGTGCCAGTCACCACGGTGCATAGTGTCATTGTCAGTCACTACTGTAGTGTTCACCGCACAGTATTTGTAGTAGTTACTGCACAGTGCACGGTGTGTGTGTCAGTCACTACAGCCGCCGAGACAGACGCTAGCTGCCGCGCCTCTCCAGCATCTGTCAGAAGCCGGCAGGGCCACTGTTAATGCTAGCGGACCGACAGAATGACAGCTAATGACAGATGGTTGCTCCGCTGCTCTCGTTTCTCCGCTCCTAACGTCTGGCCTGACTGACTGGCGGCTGTCCTGTGTGGGGCTGGCTGACGGCTGTCCTGTCCGACGGACTGTGTCCGATCCAGCGGTAGCTTTACCAACGGACTGTGCGATCCAATCGGTACAGCGAACCAGCGGTAGTCCGTCCAGCTACCCTGTTGTATTTTGGGACCAGTCGCATTTTCTGCTCCGCTCGGCGTGTCTTAGTTGCCGGTACGGCGCATTGATAGCTAAACTGGAAATCAGTTCAAATGGCGACAAATCGTATGATGGTCTTCTGTTTGCTTTTACACTTGGATGCAATGATTATTCTTTCGGTTCGGGCTTACATGTTTTTTTTTTGCGTAACATCGCATTGGGTACTTCAAAAGGAGTTGCCCTCGGACTTTTGAGGTAGCTGACAATGATTGGTTCCGATGTTGTATATTATCCCCAAACGCTGCCAACTTCAACCTTAATTAAATGACCTGGTGCCAGATAACATTAATAAAGATGTGTCAGTTTAGGGACGCTTCCGAAATGTTACCAAAATTAACGACTCATCAGAGATCAATCGACCGTTTCACGTCACGTTCCAAAGCAATCGACCAAAAGTGTGGCTTGTAACACCACCGCAGGTATCTGCGCACCCTTTGTGACCGGGCCACGACCTGGCACTGCTGGCGGCGTCCAAAGCAAACAGGTGCGCGCCGCGGCGGTGACACAGCGGTCCGGTGCCGACCGGGACGCGTCGTGCCGTCGGTCCACCGGGCGTGCCTGGCAGCGCCTCAGTGCCGCATTGTTGGTGACCTGGCGTGTAGTTGGCGGCGAGGGCGTCGGCGGACCGCCGTCCGACCGCCTTCCGACCGCCGTCGATCGGAGGCGTGCCCAGCCGGCTGCGTGGCTCGCCCCACCGCCGGCCGCCGCCCACCGGCCAAAAACAACAACAGCCGACCGCCGACGGCCGACGGCCGGGGCGCGGGCGGCGGCGGCGGCGGTGTCGAGTGGCGTCGCCCGGTGCGCGCGGTGTGTGAGAGTGCTCCGCCGGTGTGCGTGTGTTCCGTGCTCGTGGTGGAGCCCAGAGCGGTCGCCCATGCTGAGCTGGAGCAGGCAGGTGGCTGTCCCCGTGGAGGTGCTGGGGAGGCAGGGACGGGATCGGGACGGTCCTGTCCGGGTCTGTGTGGTTCTGGGGAGGGTAGATGGTCCATGTAGGCAGGCGTCCAAAAGGTGGTGCTGTGCCGCCTCGGTGGATGCCAGGTGGCGACTGAGGCGTAGCTGTGGCGCATTTCAGAAACTAGCCGTCTGTTTGTTTAGAAATTATTCACGTCACGTAGGTGTGACGTTTCTCGCTTTTCTGCCAGATGATCTCTGCTGTGGAAGGCGATCGCATTTCCTTGTATTTTCGGCACGCTTTGTAGTCCGTCTTTTACTATTGCAAAATTAAATGAAACTCTTCTCTGTTTTTGCAAGCGATAGGCTACGAAGAGGACAATTTTGATTTCCGACCATGCAACGCAGGGTTACATTCATCGATAGTTGTCCGTGGGCCAATCCCAAATCTGTCACGACTTGATTTCTGATTATTGATGTGTGCTGTAGATCGATAGGCATAAGGGCTTGTGTGAAGATAAGCGATGCTCCTTCGTGCCATGACACTGGTGTTGTGTTATGTGTGCCACCCCTTAGTCTCTGCTGTAATGTGTGGGGTATGCTTCACCTCTTTCCCTTGTCCCCGGTGAAGTATGCGGTATTTGCCGGCCTCTGTCCCCCGCCCTTGTGAGGTAAAGCACCTTATACCATGCCTTCTGGTGCTACTGTATAACACGTGGCGTCGTGCCATCTTCGGTACTGCTGTGTCGTAAATACCCCCTCCCGGGTTTTCTGTGGTCCGTGTGTCATCTTCTCGGGCTGGCGTCAGGTCGCAGACTGTCCCGCTGCCCTGACTGAGAGTCATGCATCGCTCAGGTCCCTGACCCGTGTTGGCTGGTGCTTCTTCTTCCTGTCACGGGTCCCAGTATCGATGTCTGTCTGTGAGGTCCCCTGATCCCCGCCACGTGAGTGTGTGCAGGTGCTGCCCTCTGTGGCCGTCCACACCCCGCGCCCCCTGGTGTCTGCTCCCTCGGCTCCTCCCTCAAACGATATCGGTGCGGCGCGCGGCAGGACCAGCGGCGTCAGTAGTGCGGCGCCCGGCCGCCAGTCGGCGCCACCGTCGGCGTCACGTGACCGCGCCGTCGGCCCGACGGGATGCAGCGCGAGCTGACGTACGTCGGCGGCCGTCTCAGTGGCCCGACCATGGCGCGCGCTATGGTGCCCAGGAACCTGCTCTGGTCCGGCGTGCTGGCCGCCGCCATCGCCTTCTTCATAGCAGGTGTGGAGCGCTCGGAGCTGGTGACTGGTGTGTCAGCTAGCGGAGGGAGCCCCGGGGTGGACCGGGCTCGGAGGTAGTGTGTCAGCCAGGAGAGTGTCCTGGGGTTGTTAGGTCGGGGTAGCCCTCAGGAGCCGCCGGTGGGTGCTGAGTAAGGCGGGGTCCGGTGGGAGGCCCGACGTTTGGTGCCGCTGTATGGTCCCCTGGGTGAGGGCGGGTCTTTGGTGCGAGCTGGCAGACTGGTGGGGCTGAGAGGCCCGGTTGAGGTCGGGATTCCCCAGGGATAAGGTTGGGACTGGGTGTTAGGGATAGCATCGGCTCCCCTCCCTCCCCAAGGTGAGAGCAGGTGACCTCAGGAGATTGGGCGAGGGGCTCGTCCGAATTGAAAATAGACAACTGTCGTTTTCTTCAACTCCTAGCCTTCACAAACTGTTCATAGAGATGGTTCAATCTGGGTCAATGTTATGCCATGTTTTCCCTCTGACTCAATCGGGTCCCTGTCTCTCAGCGTTGGTGACAGTGTGGCTTGTGTTCGGTGTTTGGACGGCGGCTGTGGGTATTTATTTGTCAGCCAATAGGTGATGAATGTGTTTGTACGCACGGCGGTCCCCTCTGTTTGTGTTGGGAGCCCCGGTTGGGCACAAATGGCCCGGTCCCTCTGACGTTTGGGCCGGTTATCCTACCAGACTATATGAGGCCGGTTTGGCCGGTTTGGACCGGTTGTGTGTGCTATATGAGCGTGTGATTGTTGCTTTAAGCTCTGAGTTAATCAAGGGTTGTGCAATGTGTGAGCCATATAGGGTCATAGGTTCACAGCCACAGGCCTGTGACGTTAGCTGTTGTGTCTCTCTGCTGTTTGTGGCTGGTGAGTCGACACTTGTGCTGAGTTGTGCCGACATCCGTACTGTTGTGTTGGTGTGCTGCTGCGATGTCGCTGTCCCGTACCCAGTATAACATGGATCTCACCTGGATTGATCATCTTGTCGTGATGTGTTTTATCGTCTATCAACTTGTTCCTTGTATTCGGTGGTGAGTTTGGGAGGTCCGAGATGCGGTGTCTCGAATAGATTTTTGCGAGCAAGCATTAGGTTGTGTGATCACGGTCTTTTTTCGTGTCAGCATCACATACAGAGCTACGCTCGACTGCACTGCACGTTTCAACCCTTTCAGTGCAAAGTATTATTTGTCTGACGGTCGCTGAATGCCTGAATGACGGTCGCTGAGGGTCAGCAAAGTGGCCCATGTTGTCCACATAGCGGAAGCATTTGGTCGGTTGAGACATCAGCCGAAACCGGTACCGCACGACAGGACCATTGGACACCGCTGGTTGCTGGTATTAAGTTCCCGGTATCGATTGTTTGGTAATGTGCTCCCAGTATCGAGTGCCCGGCGTCGGTCTCGGTGCTTCTACGTTTTACATTCGTGGTGCGGCGGCATTCGGTCGCCGTGCCGGCTCATCTCTGATATAACTATCAGCTATGAAGGCTCAGGGAGTGTAGCTGTGGTACATACAAATGCCAGAGAATGTCGCTACCGTGCTCAGCGCCGCTCACTCTCACCATTTTCGGCTGGGCTGAGCAATATACCTAGCTGAGTAGTTATCACGTCTTGCATCGACATTACGAGACGTAGCTCGTTGCTGGTTCTTAGACGAAGCGTGGTATAGCGTGGCCTTCTCTGTGCACAAACCGTCACCGGGCGCTCGGCTGGTGGTCCCGGTGGCAGACGCTCCGGCACTTGGCTCTCCTCAGACGGTGTGACGGAGACACCGATATATTCTCCGGTGGGCCGCGACCCTGCCGCCGGGGTCGTCTAAATCTGTCTCTGCTGTCCGAGAGACCTCGAGATGTTTTGCCGCCTCTTCCCTTCCCCCGCCCGTCTGCCAAGAGCCGCCGGTGAACAGACTTGGTGGCTGCTCTGACGGTGATATTCGCGTATGACTGCTCTGATGCGAGTACATATGTGTTAGAGAGGAAAAGGCGGGATATCTGGATGTCGATTAGAAGGCATCGCTCGTTATTCAAATATTATATCGTTACTATCTTCTTGCATATTGTCAGACCGAACCTAACCAACCTAACCTGGCCTTACCTATAATAACGATGTCCAGCGCACTCACATTGAACACCTCACTTAATCATTTGTTATATCGGATATCCTAGCCAGCTGTCATTGGTTCATAAAGCTCATAATCACAATACAGACTTCGTTGTTATTTATCTTATCCTAAACAAGTGCCTTTAGCTCATTAACCTCGTCATTACGGTATAACGAGTTTGTTGTTGTTTATCTTATCCTAACCAGCTGCCATTGGCTCATCAAACTCATCATTACGCTCTAACCAGTTTGTTGTCGCTGGTCGGTCGGCCATGGTCCCATGTGTAGCCGGCTGACACGGTTTGTGTTCGGTGCCCCGTCTGTGTATTGTTGTTGGCCGCGGCCGGCCGCTCGCGCTGGACCGGCTGCGGCGGGCGATCATTCCGCAGATGCCGGCTGGCGGTGTCCGGTGGCCGGTGATCGGCCAACGTCCACCTCCCACACATTCCTGTCGAAACAAACTGTCAGTGAGACAGACAGGGTGGTTAGCCACCTCGACAGGTATTTGGGGTGAGAAGGTCACCGAAAAATAACTCTGTTCTGTCGGACGTGTTTTCTCGACTGTCAGATACAAGGGAGGCTGGTGTTCGGGCTGTCTTCTGCCCTGTCCGGTAGTCGGTAATGCAATAGCGTGGTGCAAACGATTAGGTCTCGGGGCTGTTGTATTCAGACTGGCTTGTTGTAGTCAGTAGTTCGATGCCAAGATCAGATGTGAAGCATTACACAATCGTCACAATCTCCATTTTACAAAGGTTTGGTCGATGAAGGAGAATCAATGTCGCGTAATCCAAGAAACTCTTGATCCTCACCGCCCTTTGAAGTCCGCTATACCTCTTCCGGCACAAGCTCGTGTCATGCTCACGCAAGTATAACTACACTTTCGCTAACTGTGGCCCTTGCACACATACTTACCGTGATCTTTCGTACTTGTCTCTCCGTGGTCTGTGTGTAACTTAATTTGCTGTACTGTTCAGTGATTGGCGTAGCATGCTCAGATCGCTGATTGTGTTTTGGTTTATAGCATATCTGTCTGGCTGGTGTAATTGCCAGTGTGTCGTCCCAACATACCACATTTGCCTATACCAGTAAAACGCCTTTTGGACGAAGAACGAGCGAGCGAGATAGTGAGCCCTGCACGCAGGGGCGGCGCCACGGGTTTTCGATAGGGGGGGACGGGGACCGAAAATCCCAAAAGTAGATACCTACTGATCGTGTATGCAAAAAAAAAAACGAGGCACGTAACGCCGCGAAACTTGGCAAGGCCCAAAACACATCGAATGGTGCATCCCGTTTCCAAACTTATCCTAGGACACCTAAGATCGATCACCTTTTCAAGCATCCTTGCCTCTAAATCAAAATTTGCAGTCTTGCCAACTCAAAGCTGGTTTCCTACAAGCTGCGATTGCTTAGGTATGAGTAGCAGTGCCAGCTATTCTTACGTTTCGTACTTTCAAATTTTCGATCTTACGTCTGGTCAGCTTCAGGGCTTCACCATCATATAGTCATGGAGGAAAAGTGGGAATGTCTTCCGCTCTGACAAGTGCGCCAAAACTGCAATATAATTTCAGAATCATGACATCACCACCTGATCCATATGCAACGGGCAGGGTGCAGCTAATGGCTAGCCGTCAGTGGTCATGTCATCGGTGGTCACTCAAAAGGTCATGCTAGGTCATGGAAGGTCACCAGCCGTTATTTGATCACACTTTCTGATGGATTTTACTTGCCAAGAGCTTCGCGGGAAAAACGAGCGCATGCACCGTTGAAAAAATTGAGTGAAAGGGTCTCAGGTCCGGCGACCTCTGCAGGTGAAATGCCCCAGGGTAGGATTCCGGTGCTTGTTGATTAACTTCGTCAAAAATGGCAATAGAGCTGTGATGTCGGCACCATTGTGTTCGTCATGATCGAGCTGGCAGTTGGCACGACCTGCATCGTTCTCATATTCACCCTCCAATCGTAACAACTACAGCAGGGATTGGCAAATGGCGGGGCACCCCCTTTGGGAGGTAATGAAGGTCTCTGGAAACCTCATCCCACATCTCTTTAGCATTAGTGGCTCTCCTTATGGAACAGGTTTCTTGACTGGTCTGTTTCACCCCAGAATTCAAAGACTAGTCAAGGTAAAACCGAGCGCACCACAGTGAGCACAATTTGATAAGCTGGTGTATCTCAATTTTCATGTAGAACGTTTCACGTATCACGGACCTAAAACCCTTTCGTGCACTCATGCAAAAGCAACTGCCATGTTTCAACAGCTGGTAATGGCATTTTCACAGCCGCTGACGTAAGAAGGGGAGGGATGGGGGCTCGATTAGACCCCCAGCCGTTCGGCCGCCGACCGAACTTAGTTTTGCAGAAAAAAAAAACGAGTGCTATCGAACCCCTTGACGAGAGGGAGCCGATGCTATATCCAATTATAAGGTCTTGGGCTACTGCGTGCTTTTTTGGTCCTGCCTGTGATCTATCCGAACACTTCTCCCCACAAGTGCTGGGGTTAAATGGCATAGATTTCAAATGGTTCCTGTGGTAGAACTGCCATGCTTGAATTTGACTAATTAGGAATGGAAAATTTTCATATAGTAACGGAAATCTATGGAATTTCAGTGAACTTGGTTTTATCGGCAATGGGGTCTGGCAGTGGGGTGGGGAGGTAATAAGTAATAACCCTGCCTGGCGCCCCAAAAAGGGGGCACGATCCCCGAGGCCCTGCCGATCACCTTATAACTACAGGCATCACAGCTCCACACCTTTTGCAGATGGCCAGGACCCCCTGCGATGCATCCCAACAGCAATCTTTATTCAGAACCTGCCTTGATTAACCAACGATGCATTAAATGCGACGGATAGCTCTATAATGCATTATTATCAACTATTGAACGGGCCTCGCCGATAGGGGGGTACTGTACCCCCCTAACTTTCGATAGCGGGGGACCTGTCCCCCCCGTCCCCCCCGGTGGCGCCGCCCATGCCTGCACGTGCAGAAGGGCGAGAGGGTACTGTCAACGGGCTTGTGCAAAGCACCCTTCTAACCGGTCGCTAGCGGTGTACCAAATTTGAACGCAATCGGCCCAGCCGTTCCTGAGATCCGGAAGCGGCATTCTGCACGTGCGCACGTGCAAACGGGGTCCAAAATGACTTTTGCACGGCACCCTACTAACCGATCCCCAACCGTGTACCAAATTTGAGCGCAATCGGCCCAGCCGTTCTCGAGATCTGGAAACGCCCCCTGCACGTGCGCACGTGCAGTAGCACCCTAACCGCAACACATGGGAATGCATTGCCTGGTGGGTGCCTACCTGTAAGCCAAGTTTCAGCGAAATCGCCCCAGTAATTACCGAGTTACTGAAATGGGAACAAATTTGGCACCTCTTATTGTTGTATTTTGCACGTGCAGTGGGGGTCACTCACATAGATGAAGAGTATCCGACCTTTGGCAGGAGAGATGCAGCTACCCTATAAAAATGACCGCAAGACAATCGCTCAAGCCGCTGCTGAGATATGGGCCTCTCAAAATCATTACTTTTGCAAAACTGCTTGAACACCCTTGACTTTTCACGTGGCACGTGCCACGGCGGTCACTGAGATGTATCAAAAGTAGTCAATTACGGGGTAGAAGAGATGGGGCTACCCAGTAAAAAAGACCGCAGGCCATTCGGTCCAGCGGTTGCTGAGATATAAGCCTCTCAAAAGCGTTACAGGCCGGGCCGGGCCGGGCTGGGCCGGGCTGGGCCGGGCCGGGCCCAGTGGCGGCGGATTCGATTTTGGCGTGGGGGGGCAAGATCCCAGTCGAGCTGATGTCATATGCGGATCCAGAAAGGCGTTTTCGACGCTGTAGGGGACATACCCCCCCAAAAAAAGTGTCCAAAATCCAAAAACTCATCGGATTTCGATTCCTTACGGATCTACTGCTGAACAGTATAAAGCAAAAAAAAAAAAATCCTGATAAAAAAGTGTTTTATTAGGAAACAAGGTACGTTTGTCTATTTCGGACGATGCAGGGGCCAGGGGAGGGAGAATAAATATTTGCTTTAAATGCCCGCTCCCTGGATCCGCCAGTGGACGATGTAACGCTTTTCGTATTGCTGTATTAGAAAAAAAAATCGCTAATAGGAAAAGTTGTGCCATAACCCGATCGCATATTAGATGTTGAAGAACGATTCCAAACCTTTTGAAGTAGGCGAGCGCTATTCTTCAATGAGGTAACTCGTTACCATTTCCTCTGTTCATTTTACGTTCGATTGCCGTTTAACCTTCCTTTAAAAAGTATTTCTGAGACAGATATCAACTGAAACTAGCTCACAGCGGGAGGAGACCGCTCAAACATTCAGAGACAGTCGGTCGCATCTAAACCTATTGGGACAGCGATCCGCCAGAAACACTCCTCAAGGCAGTGGTTCGCCAACTAAGCTCACCCAGACGGGCTGTCTCGATGGGTTTATACAGTTAGTCTACAGCAAGGCTTAACTAAGGCCCAAACGCTCGTCAAGCTGGGAACGAAGGGCTGAGGTGAGGGAGCGCGGCGGTGGGCTGGGGTGAAGGAACGGTGGACTGGAACGAGAATCCAGAAGCTCTTTTTTGTTTTTGTTTTGTTTTGTTGGGTTAGGCCCTTTCGGTCTGACGAGACCATTTCAGGGCCGGAAGGATGATAGGAATTAGGGGGAGACATTGGTCTGGGCAGACACCCTAGAGAGTCGCCGGGGCTGAGCCCGTCCGAAAGGACAGACCGATCAGCCCCCCCCCCCCCAAGCACTCTCTGCACCCGGCTACGGGGTGCGCTCCGTCGGGAGCAGCGGTGCCGCTCCAAGGGAGCAGCCCGCATGAGGTAAAGGTGCCTGTCCAGCCCGGAGTGGGGGTTGCGGCGTGGAGGAGAAGGATTTATGTGTCCTGAGGATGGAAGCGATGGAACGGAGCTGCCAGAAACTCTTGGTAGGGCGTTTCTTTATTAGGGCTTTAGGGTGTTTTGCCACAATTTGCCACAATTACCAAATTTTGCCACATCTACCGGTTCAGGCACTCGAGAATCAGCGGCCAGTGATATCTGCAAAGACGAAGCATTTCCAACCCAGCTTCAGCCTGGTGTCAGGGTGCCTCAGGTGGCTTTAATTACAGTTGCACATACCAAACGACCTCAGTGCAGCCAGTCCATGTGGCCGAAACCATTCGGAACAGACTTCAACAAAAAGTGAGACAAGGTTAGTGCTATCGTTAAGTGCCATTATAGACTTGGTCCCCGTTGGCTTGACCCACTGGAAGGTGGTAGTTATCGGACGCTGTGGGGCATACTCATTTTTCCAAAATGCCTCAGATTTTGCTTTCTTGTTCATAGGCGGCGGAACGGGGAGGGCACCGGGGCACCGTGCCCCCCTTTGATTTTGGCATTTTAACGTTGGCCCTATGGGCGTTGCATGGAAAGAATGGGACCAAAAGTCGGCATTGCCCCCCCCCCTCCCCTTAATTGAAGGTGTTCCGCCGCTACTGTTCGTGTTTGATGCTCTTTATTCTATAGTCAGCCTTTAGACAGAGGGGGGGGGGAGCACTGGCACTAATGATCAGTGCCCTAACCCTCAAAAGTTTCCAACATAAATTTTTACTTTTTTAATAGTGAAAACTGAAATAAAGCGGATACTGAACTGTGAACATCCAGTTTTTACACTGGCCCCACACAAGCCTCCGAATGCCCAAAGCAGATCTCTGATGACTGGCCTTTGGGTGTCATACCATACCGTGCATTGGTCAATGTCGTCAATGTGTACGACCTCGGCCTTTACCATTTTATACCATTTTATTTGGAAACTGTTGCGCTCGAAAAAAATCAGGGGAGTGGCTTATTATGAGCGCTCATCAGTCCTAACTACCCGCAAGCGAATGGCTAGCCCTTCCGTCTCCGCTCGCTTGCGATTTGGCATTTATGTAGGTACAAAATAGAGGCAAATGACCACTGAAGGTATGAGTTGCGTCTCTTGCACACATCTATAAATAGAATCTGAAAAGACAAAAAAAAAGGATATAAAGCGGAAATGGTTAGCATTTACACATATTCAAAAGGCACCGTTGGACAAACTGTAGGGGCGCATAGCTATTAGCTGCAATATCAGATTTCCTCATGTTTAGGGCACAAATTATGGAGGGGCAAGAATATACGTTTGCCCCTCCTCCAAAAGTTTCTTAGGGAACGATGCCTCCTCTGCCACCCCGTATCCGTCGCCCCTGTAAACGGTCACTGAAGGCCTGGGTTGCCGCTGCGTCACGTTGACGCTTATAATGCCTCCAAAACTAGGTTGAAGAGAGGAAAACTTCAATTGAACGTAAACGCTTGCCATTTAAGAAAGGTAACGTATGATAAAGTATATGGGCATCTGGTTATATCTTCAGATGATCGAACGGAATAATCAGGTATATGGTTTCTTGTCTAAGCTTTGTCACAAATTATGGGGGGGCAAAAAGATACTTTTGCCCCCCCACGAGTTTGCCAGGGGGGCAGCTGCCCCCCCTGCCCCCCCGAATCCGCCGCCCCTGGCCGGGCCGCTCATACTGAGATTTTTCCGTTATATTGAAAAGACTTCGCTTCGCTCGCTGCGCTCGCTCGCTCGTAACCAGTATAACGCCTTTTCGGGCGACTAACGGAGCGAGCGAGAGGGTGGGCCTTGCACGTGCGAAATTGCGAGGGGGTACCTCCAACTGACTTGTGCACGGCACCCTACTAACTGGTCTCTAGCGATGTGCCAAATTTGGGCACAATCGGCCCAGCCGTTCTCGAGATCTGGAAGCGGCACCCTGCACGTGCGCACGTGCAAAATGGGTCCCAACTGACTTGTGCACGGCACCCTACTAACCGGTCCCTAACCGTGTACCAAATTTGAGCGCAATCGGTCCAGCCGTTCCCGAGATCTGGAAACGACCCCTGCACGTGCGCACGTGCAGCAGCACCCCAACTCTGGCACATGTATATGCAGTGCCTAGTGGGTGCCTACCTACATGCCAACTTTCAGCGCAATCGGCCAAGTAGTTACCGAGATATTGCAACAATTACAAAACTGACACCTTTTCGTTTTGCACGTGGCACGTGCATAAGGGGTCACCCACATGCATCGGGAATAGTCCAATACTTGGTAGAAGGAATGAAGCTACCCTACAAAAATTACCGCGTGTAAATCGGTCAAGTGGTTGCTGAGATATAAGCCTCGCAAAAGCGTGACCACGGCCGGCCGGCCGGCCGGCCGGCCGCTCATACTCAGAAATTTCCGTTAATCTAAGGAAAGACTACGCTCGCTTCGCTCGCTCCGTAATCATATGCTGCGTTTTTCGAATTAAGCCTAGCATAGTCATGCCGTAGCATTTGTGCATATCTGTGAGTTGTAGCACGGTGACTATAGTTGTATGTTGTGTCCGTCACGTCAGGTTTGTTCTTATGGCAGGCGTTGTTTGTTTTGTGGTACTTTTCTGTATGATGTAATAATGGAGCTGTGGAGTTTGCTAATTATTACATTAGCAAACTCCACATTATGTCCTTTAGTGAATTTCTGTATGATGTTCATCGTTGATGTTATTGATTTATTACAGTCCCTTTCACGAGAAGAAGTAGCCCCACTGTAAACAAGTAGTTTCTCCGTACTATGTAGTAATGTCTCGACCGATGGCTCCGTTGAATGGGTTACTGTACCAGCACGTTTCCCGGTGCTGTCAGGGGTTCTGCTGGGGCGGTTCGCCTTTCGCGGAGAATCAACAGGCGGCTCGAACTCCCGCCGCTACGCCAAGGCGGCCCAGTATCTGCTGGATAAGATCGACGCCAGCTCGCTGGGTCGGTTCCTCAGGTAACCAGCACGCCAGAACGCTGCTCGATCCTCGCGCTGACCGGAAGGACTTTGGCTAGTCAGCACTGGTCTGCTGTAGACTCTGCTCTTTTGTTGTTCGCCCGACGTTTCCGCTCAGTAAATGGAGCTGTTTTATGTTGGAAGCTTGCGTTAGCATCAGTGGCCCCGTTGATTTTTTTATGTTTGCAGCTCGGCAGAAGACATGCCTGTTCTTGCAATCGGCATGTATTTTTGTGTTTTGCACGCCGATTCCCCGTACGCTTGGAACTAATTGGGCTTATTCGTGTATTCCTGACTACCGATGGAATAAATTGTGTTTGTAGCCGTATTTTAGCACGAGGCATTTAAACTGTAGGTGAGGGACACGATCGTTACGGAGCTCCTTTACAAATAAGTATCATTTAAAATGGCTCTATATATTCCCGACCGGGGCTGGGAAAATGCGTTTTATTCACCGAGGTTTTTGTGCGGAGGACCGAGTGCCGGTAGGCACGAGGTCCGTAGCCAAAAACCGAGGTGAATAAAACTGCATTTTCACAGCCCAAGGTTGGGAAGAGATTTACCACATGCCGTACCGGCGCAACAGTTAATATCATATTCTTTTGATATTATACATTATATTCTTAATATTTTGTTAATATTATATTAATACTACCTATGTTCACATCTATAGTCACCGTGATTATTTTTTGTGTTTTTCATTATTAGGCTGCGTTGAGTATGAAAGATTGAATTCCCTGCTTCCTCCTTATTTAGGGTTTGAAAAAGCCGAGGATGAAGATGGTGAAGAGCCAGACAGTGCTGCCAGATTTGGAGGATTTCCGCAAATCTGGAGGATTTTGAACTCTATTTGCGGACAAATTTCGCGTTTGGAGGATTTTTGATTCTGGAGGAAAATCTGGAGGATTTGTCACCCGATTAATATATTCAATTTCATGGAAAAATACAACGCGTTCAAGACTCAAAAGACATTTTCCTGCCCAGCTTCACCCTACCCGTTAGGATATATCACTGCCCTTTATCACCGTGAGACTGGAATGTCTCAGTCTGTAGCTATATCCACGAATATCATGGTGACTATTTGTTCCTATTTCGTGTACGATTGTACCATATGTTTTTGAAGGTACCGAACTACTGGCGGATCAAAGGGGGACATTTGGCGCAAATTCCCCCCCCCCCCTCCTGCAGCGTCCAAAATCGAAGAAAATTTTCGTTTTTTTTCAAGGATAAAACGAAAACTAAACAACTTTTATTATAAAAAAGCATCTTTTAAACTACACAGCAGTGCGAAAGGAATCGAAATCCGATGAGTTTTTAGAATTTGGAGAAACCTTTTCGGAGATATGCCCTCCCGCAGCGTCCAAGACCGCCTATCTGGATCCGCCAATGGGATTTGGAGGAATCTGGAGGATTTTTGTAACTGATCTGGAGGATTACAGCCTTCTCCATCTGGCAGCACTGGAGCCAGAAGTTAGAATAAAGATATGGAGTCTAGCAGGAGTGAGGAAACCGTGAAGAAAACTGAAAATTGGGTAAAACGCTGAATCAAACGCGTCTTGGATGCCAGCTGGAACAATAAGTTAAAACAAAGAAGTATATGTAGTCCAGCAGGATTGAGAAAACCGTGAGGAAAACTGAAAATTGGGTGAAACTCTGAATGAAACACGTCTTGGATCCCAGTTGGAACAATATCAAATGTTTCATTGCGGCACGTTAAGATGCGTCGCGCATTTAAATTGTTCGTTTTTTTCTGCGTGCATTATGTAGTAATAATGACTATTCTGACCATGTCTTACAGCAATAAATACATTGGCATTGAAACGATAACCCTGTTTAGTTGAATTACACTGACAGCAAAAGTAGGAAGTTTACACGCACAGCCACTGTTGCTGTTGCTGTTAGTGAACACACAATCCGTAAATATCTTCTTTGGAATTGGTTCTTCCGCTCAGAATATTCAGTAAAACTTTGTCTGGGAAAATCAAAAAGCCCTAGGGCCGAATCGTTTCCCAAATACCTTCAACATTAGCCGAGGCGGGCCGAAGCCATTTCCCAAATGCACGTGCTAATGTTAACCCGCGCCCCGTAGGGGGGGGGCCGAAACGGCCCCCCCTGTCCTTTTCGGTCGATATCTCTTAAACGGCTGGAGATATCGCCACCAAACTTTCAGGACCCCTCCGGGCATCAATTTTACACATTGTGACCAAAAATTTTACCAGAGGCTATGATATGTTGGCCACAAATGACGTCAGAGTGACGTCATGTTCTGTCATTTTCGACCGAAAAAAGACCTTCGCGAGAAGACCTGTCAGGACTACAGCTTTGAAGATACAGAAAAATGATCAAGACATAAAAGGTGTAGAATTGACAGGGCTACAAAACTGCTATATCGAATTTTTGAAATTTTTGAGTTTTGACCCCCAAAAATCAAAAAAGCATTTTTTGGATATATTCGCCAAAAAATCCAAAAAGTTTTTTGAGTTTCGAAAAAACCGGAATATATGTGATAGTGCCTACCGTCTTCTATCTACATACCAAATTTCAGATCGATACCTCGTTTTTTGGCCAAGTTATAGCGAAAAAACTGTTCAAAAATGATTACGTCAAATTTTCAAACTCAATTTTTGGCAATTCTAGAACTCGTAGAGCAAAACGAAGACCACCATTAGACTCCCCGTGACGAGCTGCATCGAATCGATACCCATTTTATGCAAAAATATCAACTTTGAAATTTGACCTAATTTGACCTGACCTTGACCTGACCTTCACCAAAACGTGACCTAGGCTGGCCCCAAAGGCTACCTAACCCACATAATCGCATTTGTCATGTAAAATGGACCATAAAACATGTATCACACGACACATTCATATTGTGACCCCCGGTGACCTGACCTCGCTGTGACCTGACCTGGTATCAGTGACCTCAGATAGCAAAGTATGTGTTTGACGAACAATGTACCATCGATGGTTTTTAATAAATTACCAATTTACTCGCTTTCACAGCACATTTCTTGAATTGCCTGTGAACGGTGAAAATCTGACCTTTGACCTGACCTGTGACGTCATCGGTTTGACCTAGGTCAATGAAATTTGGTCACAAGGTAGTTCCCGGGTGGGGCTATCGAACTCCGTTTGAATTTTGAAAATCGGCCGGTAACTTTCCGAGATCTTAGGGGGGGCCGAAACGGCCCCCCCCCCCCTACGGGTGGTAGGGTCCGCCGGTAGCCCTACGGGGCGCGGGTTAAAGGGATGTCTCGGCATGTGGTAAACTGATTTCCCACCACCATTTATGTTTGCTTAAAAAATATGAAGATCGTATCCTGCATATTTGCAACCCTTTAATGCTTTTATATGTGGGACATTCGTTGTGACGCTGGGAGCTCGTCGGGGTCCTCTGAGCGGGTCCGGCCGGGCCGCCCCTGGGTCTTATCCCGGCGGGGCGCCGCCGGACGGCATACGCCGGCTAAACCACCCGTACACACACTGTCACACCACCTTCACCAGCACCACCTGCGGGCACCACCGGCACCACGGGCTCCGGGGGCGGCGGCGCGGCGACCGTATGTTGATTGTGTTGCGTGGCGGCGGACGACAGCCGACCCGACAGCAGCTTACACAAGCGCCGCCCGCCCGCCGAGCTGGTGACGCGTTTGGCCGCCACGGTGACGGCGTTTATGTCCGTAGTGACAGGTAGGGTGGGGATGGCGCGGGGAGGGGGAGCACGACCGACTCGGAGCGCGCCGGGCGTCGTCTTTGGCTTCCATTCATAATTCATGTCACCCGTTTATTAGAGCGGTTTAAACATTTCTGATCCTAGACATAATGTTTGTCACACGGAGCAGCTAACACTCACGCACGATGCGAGCTGTTGAAGGCTGGGCTTACTACAGTTGAGCTATGCTCAGGGCCCGCGTGCAGTCCCGGTGAGGCGACATCTCAGCCGTGTGCCAGCAGTGACGGTTGGCCCTGGTCTGAAGGACGTCCGGGATTTGCGTGTGTACGAGTGTGCAAGTTTCTTTTGCAGTTGGAGCAGCAGGAATCGGCAGCTTGCATGCAACTTTTCATTATGGTGGTCGGTTGTAGATGCGCGAGAAGGGCAGCGTAAGATCACGCAGGATTTTGATGATGATAGTGCGACTTATAGTCCGATTTTGCTGTCAAATTGATGAGGAAAACAATGCAACAATATTATGAGGCAGGAGTTTTAGGTATGCGCTCGTTGTTTCATTCAAAAATTTACAGCAATTTTGAAAGCTAAGCGGTTCTACAATGGTGGATAGTGAAGAGCTGTGATGGTGACCGTGTGTCTGTTTGGAGCTCTACGTGCTCAGCTCCTGCGCACCGCGGCACACTTGAGTGCACCTTCGTACCCACCTAGTCACTAACTCGCTGTCACCAGTGCCCTGCCTTCTTGAGACCCTCTCTTGTACAGTGTCCTAAAGTTACACCTTATTGCCTTACTAGCACACCATTTATTGATCATCATGCCGTACTAACGCGCTATCGCCCCTGCCACTGTCTGGATTGCTAGCCGCGCCAGGGTAGGTGAGAGGCATGCCACCCACGGGCCACGACTCGCCAACGAGCGTCACAGTTGGTTTCTTTGAGACTCTCCCGATGCCGCGGAGGGGATAACCATGAGCATGCTTACGAATGTATATGATGACTAGCTTGCATGTTTGCGTGCTTGGTGCTTGATGCATCGTCTCACTATACCAGCTAAACAGCCCATGAATGTTATCTGTATTTTGTGTTTGCTCTTGAGTATGATATCCGAAAGTCCTTGCGGCTTATTTGATGCGTGCAATGTTATATTATTCTTGTCAGCGATACATTTTTATCGTGATTTCGAGTACCTTTGCTCCATCATCACTTGGATAGCAATGCTGTTAATCAAATAAGTTCCCAACAACATCTCAGGCATTATCAGCTTGCTTGTGACGTTCTTTTAAACTGACCGAGTACACATTTTATCAGTCTTGTGTCTTTAAAATGTCGCCGATATCACCTCCCGTTCCCGCATTTCTCTGACGCCTACCGGTATCACCCACCACAGGGAGCTGACGCGGCGACCGCACGTGGCCGGACTGCCCGAGAACGAGCGTCTGGCCCAGTACGTGGCGGACACGTGGCGCGCCCAGGGCCTGGACCGGGTGGAGGAGCTGCGGTATGACGTGCTGCTCTCCTACCCGGACGGACAGAATCCCAACCTGGTGAGGAGGGAGGCGCAGCTGGAAGACATGGTGACATTGGCGGGGGACTGGGAGGAGACCAGGGCTTCCACTCCGCACACCTGTCGGAGTATGTGCCAAGATTAAGAAGTGCTCGTTTTGGCGACTGAAGTTGAACGGCATTGCGCGATCCGGTGTAAATCAGAGGCCTGTTTCACTAACGAATAAAACTTGTATTTACAAAGAAAAAGCTTGAGTTTACAAGAAATAATTACCAACATTTGAGATTTGGATTTCACGAAACCTTTGAACATGAATTTTGAGTTTAAAATTTGCAAACTTTTTTACATGAAAAAGTTTGCTAGAAAACATGGGAATCGCAAACTTTCTGTTTCACGAAGACCAGAAACTTGAAAGAAAATATCGTAATTATAAACCTGAAATTCCAGTGGTCCTGACGCTCGGAATTTTGATACTTTTTGTGCAATAATGCAAAACAGTCATATATTTAGAACAACTATGCTTTGTTGAGTCCAAGAGGTGCCACTGGCGATGAAGCTTAGTGAAATCTGTTTTTTCGTAGTTGGTAAAAATACTTATGAATTGTAAACTACAAACACTTGTAAATACAAGTTTTTAGTGAAACAGGCCTCTGACGGGGAGGGGGTAGCTATTTACACACCTGTTTTACATCAAGCTGGCATACCGCCACCAGCCATCGATTAATGTTGTATGTGCGCACTGCGCTGACACCTCGTGTTGACTATAGGCCAATAGGAAGTATTGGAGCAGTCTTAGTGGAATTCATGTACCGCCTTGCCTTGAAAATCCTTCGCTGATTTCTGAGTTTGTTGTTTTCTGGTTGATAATAGGGAGTACTGCGCGCTTGCGTACGTGATGCGCTCTTTCCGCGTGTGTGTATGCGTGAATGCCCTCGTGTAGTAAATATCTGCGACCGTCGCCCCCAACTGACACGGTGCCCTCTCCTGTCCCCAGGTCCGTGTGGTGGACGAGACAGGTCAGGCGGTGTTCACGGCGCAGACCCACCAGCCGCCGCTACACTCGCCAGAGGAGCGCGACCCGTCCGTACTACAGAACTTCAACGCCTACTCGGCGCCCGGACAGGCGCAGGTAACCACCGGCGGGTCCGGAGACGGTAACTTAGTGTCGTGCGTGACGGCGGGTGAGTCACAGTCTGGCGGAACGGTGGTCTTGTGGTGGTGGTGGGGGGGGGGGGGGGGGGGGGGGGGGTAGCGTGGTCAGAGTACTTTTGACTGTATTTGGGTTCGGTACATGTGCAACGAGGTGCACACATACAGCATTGTTTTTTTTATTCATTTATTTATTTATTTATTTATTTATTTATTTATTTATTTATTTATTTATTAGTCGTTTTCTTCTTTGATGCATTATATAAGCGTATATGTCGTAGGATTTCACAAGTTGCATTTCCATTGTTCTTTTTAACAAATGCCGACGCCCAATAGTTCAACGCTTTTGTGTAAATGGGCGGAGAGGCCGGAGTAGTAGGGGAAGTTGGGGGAACGCCGAATACTTTTTTTCTGACGCCCGTAGCACGCAAGGTAGACAACATAAGCTATTCTTGTTGGCGTCATTCGAGAGGCCAGTCTTTTGGCTTTCAAACATACCAGGCGCATTTGATGAATTCGCATACCGTTAAGCGCACAAACTAAAAATATCAAAGAAGTGACTTTTTCGGCGTTGCGCCGGACTGCGGGGAAAGCCGAAAATGGGAGAAATGATCTACGGGGAATGCCGACATTGATATTTTGCCACTTTATCTCAAACTTTATCCAGAATTTATCAAAGCTGACACGCGTTTTAAGAGCTTGAGGACGCTTGGTGCACACTGGAAGTTATAATTGTGTGATATAATAAGAAAATGCCAGGTAAATAATTCCTTATAGGTAACAGGCCGTTGTGTCGGTTGAAAGTGTAATTTGTGTGACTAAAAATTCGCGTTGCTATTCTACAGCAGTAAAGTCCACGTAGCGTGCTTTAACGTGCGTAATTGCACGTTTTCGGCATTACCCCAGCCAGCCATACTTTCATTTGCAGGCCCATAATTTTTCAACGTGCCGTATAAATTTCAAATAGGCAGCACACTTATGCAAAGACATGCTGAAGATTACTTGACCGAATTGGCCAGACAAACGGTAGCATAATGAGTAAGAAATGCAGCTTCAAAGGCGCATGTAGTGCAAGGAACGCGTACCTTGAAAACGCTCTTGGCGCCCTCACAGCCGAAGTATTCCGAATGACGACTCGTAACAAACATGCGATAATTGTAGTCACTTAAGCTTCAAAGCATCACTGACAGGTGGCATCCATGTCTTGCGGTTTTCGAAATATCTCGAATTTCGGCTTTGCCCCAACTCCGGCATTGCCCCAACTTCCCCTATAATTTTGATCATCTGTTTTCAGGGAAAGGTCATATACGTCAACTATGGCCGCGAAGAGGACTTCCTATATTTGCAGTCGCAGAACATATCACTCAAGGACCACATCGTCATCGCGAGATACGGCAAAATATTCCGAGGGAATAAGGTACGCCTACATACTACGCCTACTTTAAAAGTCCAATCAGTGCTTTTGCCTGGATGTAAATATATAGTAAATATAGTTGATATAAATAAAAGGGAAATAAAAGGCTCTTCAATTTTCTTTATATTGAATCCAATCATTGAAAGTACGCAAGAGGCAAGCATTGTGACTGTTGGCATCTTTATTAGCATATGTAGAGTACACCACCTTTTCCTTTTGTTCATTTAGCGCTGTTCAGCCCCTATCCGCCAATGACCCCCCCCCCCCCCAGGCGTACCTATGTGAGCAGTTCGGCTGCGTGGCTCTGCCCAATCCTACCTCCCAGTGACCCCCCCCCCCCCCTCAGGCGTACCTATGAACTATGTGAGCAGCTCGGCTGCGCGGCGCTGTTTAGCCCCTACCGTCATCTGACCGCCTCCCCCCCCCCCTCCCCTCAGGCGTACCTATGCGAGCAGTTTGGCTGCTCGGCGCTGCTGTTGTACAGTGACCCGGCGGACGGCGCGCCGCTCGGCCAGTCCGCCGACGCCGCCTACCCCAACACCGTGTACATGCCGTCGGCGGGCGCCCAGCTGGGCACCGTGTACAGGGGCACCGGAGACCCGCTGACGCCCATCTACCCGTCACTGGGTGAGTCTGGGTGGCAGACACCTGAGGGGTGTTCACGGGCACCGCACACTGCTGCGTGCGGTGTGTGCGGTGCGTCCAGCAGGCGTGGGGGTAGGGGATGGGTAGGCGGCTCTGACGTCACGGCTGCGTGCGGTGGACGGTCCGCTGTGGCCAGTCCCGACCGGCCACAGCGATCGCTGTGTGCGGTGACGGAAGGCTGACGTAGGAACGAAGTGGGCGGAGCTTGGAGGCTGTGTGCGGTCCGACCGCACACAGGGCCCGAGAACAGCCCTCGGGGTAGTGAACACTACAGCGAAGGTTAAGCGCGGGGGGGGGGATAACGAGGGGTATTGGATTGGGTAATGTATCAATGTCTGGTGTTTTGGCGTACCGATGCATTTCTCTGTCGGCTGCTACATGTCACGTCCAAGTGACATGTCATGACAATAGCCGTCTTATTTCCGTCTTTCTGTGTCGATCCCGGGTGCGGCGCCTTGCGTCACCTCCGTGTATCTCGACTGTGTCTTTACCTCTCTTTGTGTCCGCCCGTGCCGGCAGAGAGCGCCTATCGTCTGTCGGAGGCCGAGGCCGAGCTGCCCAGGATTCCGGTGCAGCCCATCAGCGCTGACGACGCCTACCAGATCCTCAAGTTAGTGATATTGAGAGACGGACGTAGGCTAAGTCTTCTTATACGGCTGGGGTGTCTGTTTTATGGACAGCTAAAATATGTTTCCGTCTCAAAGATATGTGACAATGCTCCTTTGCTGTCATGCGTACTCGTTAGTCATTTTCATATTTTGTCTCCTTGTTTTTGTACCAATATAGTATATGAATTGGCTTCAGGGGCTCTGTTCACTTCTATTTCAGTCAACAGATATATTATTTTGCTACATTCCTGTTCAACGATCCAACCTCAGGACACAAACCTTCCCCTCACGTAACTACTGCTCCATTCTCAGGCTGATGCCGCCGACTGCCGCGGCGCCTGCCGACTGGTGGGGCGGGCTGAACCTGACCTACGGCCTGGGTCCGGGCCCGGCTCGGCCCGGCTGGACCGTTCTGATGGACATCCACACACACGGGGAGAGAGCCAACGCCACCAACGTGATCGCCACGCTGCGCGGATACGAGGAGCCGGGTGGGTGAGCGGGTGGCACATCATCATCATCATCATCATGTTTTATTGGCACAAACTCGGATTAAATCAAACAAATTTCTCTCCTCGCGCGCAACGGGCGCGCGGGGAGAGGGAGGGATGCAGGGTGGCCTGGGATGGAGAGGGAAGAGGTGTAGAATCACGACTCTATGTAAACTTTGTTTATTGATGGGGTTTATCGAAATGTCAAGTTTATTGGCCTCATTTCTACTCGATAAAGTATTGGGTTGAGGACAATACATTAAAGACAGTACTGTGTAGCTGATACGTTAAACACCCCCCTAGAGAGGTAGCTCAGGTTGGGATTTTCAATAGAAAATCACAATTCTAAAGAATAGTGATTGTCTAATTGAAAAGTCCCAACCTTCGGATATAGGGAGCTGGTAAGTTGGCCAACGACTAGCAGCTGTTTTATAAGAAGTTTGACATATTTTGTGTTGATTTGTTGGAACACTTAACTTCCACATCGATTTCTCAGCACAGAACGGTGTCACTCATCATAATTAATCTTGCCTATCAAATGACACTGACTGCTCAGTGCTCCTCCCTCATTTGTAAAACAACCGTCCTGTCTGACCCCATCGCTCCCCACACAGACCGTTACGTGCTGGTGGGGAACCACCGGGACGCCTGGATTCTGGGGGCCATCGACCCCTCCTCGGGCACGGCCGCAATGCTGGAGCTCACCAGGGTACTGGCTAACCTGAGAAAGGAAACTGGTAGGTATGGGGGGGGGGGGGGCACGGGCAGCAGGGTTGTATGGGGGAAACGTTTTGTCGGTTGCAACTAGAAAGACATGGTTCTCGGTTCTGGGTGACGAATGACCCAATTATGTATCGCGATGCATGGTGAATGCCGTAAAAATACTTACAAACATGGCTGTTATGCTCGTTATTGAATGATAATTTCAAATCGTGTTTGAGATCGGAGAGTAGACAAATATCCTCTGAGCACTTGTCACTATCACTTGTTGGACCTGACGTTGCCGGCGCTGACTGGCGGCTGGTACCCGCTCCTGACATACCCTCACTCTATGTCAGGCTGGCGGCCGATGCTCACCTGTCTCCCTCTGTGTGTCCCAGGCTGGCGGCCGCGCCGCTCGCTCGTATTCTGTAGCTGGGGCGCCGAGGAGTACGGCCTGGTCGGCTCCACCGAGTGGGTCCAGCACCACCGGCAGCAGCTGGCCGCCCGCGCCGTCGCCTACCTGAACGTGGACCTCACCATCAACGGTGGGTGACCCGACCCGACACGGATTGTGACATTGAATGCGTGCAGATCATGACAATCATGGATGCTTTCAGTAATACATACTCTCTCGACACATCTTAGGTAATTTGGCCGACAACTCTGGTCAATGTAGAAATTCTCACTTTCAGGGTTTTATAGTAACCGGCCGCAAGCACCATAGATGATGATTTGAATTCACTACATTTTAATTAATCATTAATAAAAACTTGATTTCCATGTGCCGGAGCACATAAAACGCGAAATTGTTACCCTACCGGGGAACAGGACGTTTTTTTTTTAAACATCCAACCCGGTTCTCTGCCGCTGCCTTGTCAGGTAACGACACGCTGCGCGCGCTGGGCGTGCCGCTACTCCACGACCTGTTGTTCGCCGCTGCCCGGACGGTGCCCAACCCGGACCCGGAGGAAGTGGCCGCCGGCCGCACCACCGTGTATGACACCTGGCTGCTGCACCGGCTGGACAACGCCACCGGGCGGCCGCAGTGAGTGGGGGAGTGGGGAAGGGAGGGTTCAGAGGCAGTCCAGTGAGTCCGACTGCGGGGAGGGGAGGCTTCAGAGGCGGTTCAGCGAGTCCAACGTCGGAGAGAGAGTGTTGGAAGGCGCTCTCGGTGCAGATTAGTGTAATACTGCTACCAATATCGCTTAAGCATTTCAGCACAAGGCTAGTTTTTCGTGTTTTGGTGATTTATTAAGTCATCTGCCAATCTTCTGGCAAATTTGGATCATGTGAACAGCTTGTCGAGATGCTCGGCCCTCGGGGGAGCTATGATGATGGTCTTGAGGTTTATTTTGGTGGGTGCATCGTTTTGACGATATTGTGATTTTTTTGCAGCGCAATTTCTCTCATTATACCATCAAATTATATGTTGTCTGGTATGTCTGCCAGCAGTGTAGATGTTATATAGGCAGTCTCGTTGAGTCGTGTTAGCCCCCCCCCCCCCTTCCTCCTCTGAGCGCCGTCTTTTGTGCCGCCTACCCGTGCTGTAATAACCTCTCCCACCCTGGCAAACTCCAAAGACTGGAGCTGCCAGGGGACGGCAGCGACTTTAAGGGCTTCATCCACAACGAGGGCGTGCCGTCGGCCGACCTGGCCTACGACGTGAGTGGGTCCTGCGCACCCCGCCACCCCCTCCCCGCTCACACGCCGGCCGTTAGAGACTCACGCCTGACTAACCGCGCACCCCGCCCCGCAGGGTTACGCTACCCGGCCGCGGCAGCGACTATAAGCAGTTCCTGCATGTCGAGGGCGTGCCCAGTTCGGACCACCGGTACTTTCAGAAGGTGAAGGGGCTCGCTGTGTGTGTGTGTGTGTTTGCGTGCTGTATTTTATATTAGTAGTTGCAGCTGGTCAGCATGATATTTGGGTATTCGCACAGGCATGGTGTTACTTTTCTGGGCTGTGCATGTGCTTCATAGTGTAAAGTGTTCCCGTGCCCCAAATTTATATCAGCTAAATCAGCGCCAAGCCAAAGAAAACCGCACGCACCCACCTAACCGTACCGTATGATTTTTGGCTCCAGATTTAGCGTTCACCCCCAGGCTCCAAAAGCATGCTTTCAACTCCGGTGTAATTATTCGTCCCACATTTTACAGCCGACGATGTTTTTCCGCATCACACTCTTTGCACGTTCTTTATTAACCAAGCAAAATGTCTTGCATTAAATGAATAGAAGTTATCGAGGTGATTGCCGACTTATATTGAAAGTTCATTAGCTTATAGTGGGAGAATGCGATGGTTATGTGCAGTGTTTGTTAGACATCTCTTGCTTTGGATTTTCGAGCGTTTTGACCTACCTAGGTACTGGTAACTAAAATGTCATGGAAAATGCCTATTCTGCAATTTTATATTAAATTATTTAGGTGAATCTGAGTGAAGTTCGGATGCAATTGAGAATGTAGCATTTTTAGTGCTAGGTTAAACAGTAATGACGGCTTAAGTAATCTTACGTGATAATGAGCCTGCCGTTACAAAGCGTTTGTCCTCTGTCGTCAGACGGACTCTGGCTCGTCATACCCGCTGTACCACACGCTCTACGAGACGTACTACATGGTGACGGAGCTGCAGGACCGGGGCCTGCACTTCACCACGGCCGTGGCGCAGATGTGGGGAGAGATGGCCAGACGGTGAGGACGGGAGGGAGGGAGGAAGGAAGGAAAGGAGAGGAGGGGAGGGAGGGGCTGCACTTTACCACGGCCGTGGCCCAGATGTGGGGAGAGATGGCCAGACGGTGAGGGGGAGGGAGGAAGGGGAGAAGGGCGGGGCGATAGTGGAGGGAGACGGGGAAAATGACCAAGGGAAGACGATAACGGACAAGGTGTCGGGGCTGAGTGTAGCCACAAACGATCTCGAAGGGAAGTTGAGTCCTGTTAGAGAGACGGCTTGACCACTGCTATTTGTTATGGTGCGACCGTCCCGGTGATCCGCCCTTCACCACTAGTTTATCTGCATTACGCTGTGCCCGCCTGCCTCTGTGACCGCTCCCTCACCGCTCTGTGTTCTGCAGGCTGGCAGACGACCCGGTGCTTCCGTTCGGCGTGGTGCGCTATGGCACCTTCCTGCAGGAGGCGTTCAGTGTTCTGGAGGCCCACTTCGGACCGCGACTGAGGCAGAACGGCGTCACTCTCGGTGAGTTGAGAGGCGACTGAACGAATTACCTGCGTGTGTGTCATTTTTTGCTAGAGCTGTAATGGCTGCTACCAAGTGTCATGGACCTGGGAGAAGAGGTAGCCTCTGCAAAGATATTCTTGGCATTTAAATGTAAGTACCTAATTGACTGGTGGTTATATTCATGCCTTTGTGGCCTCGCATTGTAGTGAAAGAACGTAGTCCCATTGTTATATTTCCGTCGTGCTTGCACCAAGCCTGGTCAGTACCGACTGCCCGGCCGCCTGCTCCGGCGCCGGGCGCGAGCGCGAGTAGGCCAACTGACCGCTCGTGGCGGAGCGGCCAGTGCCGCAGACAGCACACGCACCATATCTTGTTTCAGATTTGGCATTTTTTCTGTACTCGTGGGCGTAATGGTATTTTCCATGGTAAACATCTACTGTATCAGTTACACTCTCTTTGATATACTAAAACGATATCATGTGTGTCTACAAACCCTTCACTTTTCCCCCAGTTAGCCTCCACCCCCCCCCCCCCCGAGTGGTTGTCCTCCCCCCCCCCCCCCCCCCCCACCCGGGTCTGACCGACCGCTGCGCCCTCCTCCGCCGGCAGATTACGTCAGGGCGGCTGTGGAGGAGTTCGCTGAGGCGGCCACTACTTTCCAGGAGCACTTTCTCCGCCAGCTGGATCTGGACGAGTGAGTTGCACGTTACACAGTGGTTTGTGTTCTAGGTTAGGGCAGGACTTTTTCGTCGTATCACTACAGATTTAGTATTTACAGAAGGCTGTCACAGCTCTTTAGGATATCATATTTTTTAGTATCACTATCCTAGCTGACACCAAGCTGTCAAGGCGTCTCGTTAGCCCGTTGCAATGGTGACCGAGTGACCCCATCGCTGTGCATCCACTCCTATTGTGTTCTGCGCGGTCGTGGACGCCCCTTACTGATGCCCTTTGCTCTGTTGCAGCCCGCTGGCGGTGCGGCAGGCCAATGATATTCTGATGGGTGTTGAACGGTCCTTCCTGGATCCCCGCGGCCTGCCCGACCGGCCCGACTACAAGTGAGTGTCAGATGCCCCCATAGCTTCAAACTTCCGTTTGTGTTTCATGTGTGCTTGTTGTTTGTTGTTTTGTTGTTTTGTTGGGTTAGGCCCTTTCGGTCTGGCAAGACCATTTCAGAGCCGGGAGGCTGATAGGATAAAGGGGGAGACATTGGTCTGGGCAGGCATCCTGGTGAGTCGCCGGGGCTGAGCCCGTCCAGAGGACAGGCCACCCAGCCCCAAGGCACTCACTGCACCCGGCTACGGGGTGCGCTCCCTCGGGAGCAGCGGTGCCGCTCCAAGGGAGCAGCCCGCATGAGATAAAGTTGCCTGTCCAGCCCGGAGGGGGGTTGCGGCGTGGAGGAGAAGGACTTCTGTATCCTGAGGATAGAAGCACGGAACGGTGTCATGTGTGCTGGGCTTTAAGCGTTATCGTTTAGTGTTGCTGATCCTAACGACAGTAACTTTCACCTTGAAGTTTGCCGTTAAGATGTTTCACGTTCTTGTCTGACACCATCGTCCTTCCTTCTCTCTCTATGTTCGCAGTCACGTGATTTTCTCGCCGAGTTCGTCGGACGGCTACTCGGGCGTGGTGTTCCCCGGTCTGGTGGATCTGCTGCACGACCTGGACCGGCTGCCGGCCGACCGGCGCGCCGCCCAGTGGCAGAAAATCAAACTACACGTGTCGGTGCTCAGCTACATCATCGGCAGCGCGGCGCATGGTCTCCAGCAGGACATCTGAACAGGTGCTGTCGGAAGTCGGTACCGGCCGGAGGACACCAGAGATGGAGGGCGCGACCGTCGGCCGAAATGGGGACGGGACAGGTCCCCTTATAAACTGAATAGCCGATAAGACAGCAACCGCCGCGGTATGATTAGGTGCCCGAGTCACAATAAGATGATTAGGTGCCCGAGTCACAATAAGTACTTGATCTACAGACTACGAAGGTGGCGTGGATAAAGCATGAACTGACCCAGGATGCTTTCCACATCTTTTTGTTGATAATGATTAGCGCTTTCGGCACTTTTCGTAATGAACCCTTAGCAATCAATCGACCAGCCGACTTAGCTGATAGATGAACCACTGAGACGTTTTGTTGCCAGCATCTACACCACCTCATTCATGAGACAATAACATACACGTCATACACACGCCGTCCTGTGACCAATGCTAATGGATAGAAGCTGCCGACCCAGCTGCAACCTTATGTAACTGAAGACCAGTCGACCTTAGCTTATAGATCGGTAGGAGATAGAGAACCCAACCAGTCATTGGGTTTGTGGTGGTTGAAAGAACGGTGGAAGAACAAGTGCGCGTGTGCGTATCGTGCCGTACGGAAAACACCTACAGTGCCGGAGGTGTCCTTCAGTGTACTCCCAGTGCCAGAGATGTCTGGCTTAGACGCTTCCAGTGCCGGAGAAGCTGGACGGGATGCCCCTAATGCTAGCGGGGCCGTTCACCGCCAGTTGTGCGGAGCGGAACGGGTGGGAGCGAGCGGCTGTGATATGACAATACCGGGACTATCCCGTCTGTAATATGTGGCCAGGGTAAGACCGGGAGCGACAGTCCAGGGAAACGGGCTACCGCTCCTCACCAAACCGCGCGCTATAGGACGTAGGAGACAAATGAGGCAGACAACAACACAGACTGACGCACGGACAGAAATCTAGAAAGACTGACGGGCTTACGGACAAACTGGCAGACAATGCCGGAGACGATAGGACGGATGGACGAGCGAACTTACGAGATAACTAGCAGACTGAGACGGGAACGGAAATATGGGTGGGCGTAAGGACAAACAAGTTGACAGACCGAGACGGAAAGGAAAGGACGGACGGACGGACGGACGTGAAAATGATCCGTATACAGTTTGCGTCGTAGTGCAAGTTTCATTGAGGATCATTGCATTATGAAAGAAGGAAGCCGCGCTTACATTCGTGTGGACATGCTCTTCCAATGTCTTCCCAAGTCCGATATTGCAATATTTGAGAGAAGTGTTTGTTGCACTGTTCCACGCTTTTGTCCGCGTATGCTGTGCAATGTGCATTGTGCTTGCCTGTGTGGAGCGTAGCAAGTTTATAAGCGCTCGCGATGGCAGCCACTGGCGATGCCTGTCAGTCGGTTTGACGCGCACTGTGAGTTTGTCAGAGTCGGTGTGATCTGTGTGATGACCTGTGCCTTATTGGCGAGCTGTAACAATGTCAGCTTGGATGGTGTCGTGTCGCTGCTTCCGTTAGCTGTAACCCGGGATCGAATACCACTGAACGATGAAACACGGATTGACGTTTGGGGGTGTGGTAGCTGGCTGAGAGGAGCTGACGCTCATGTCCTTCCTAACCACAGAATCTAAAAGTGAAGACAAACAGGAAAAAACACGATTGGAGAGACACGACTCGATAACAATGCTCCAAAACTACCATCAGCAATGTCCAGTGATAATAGCGCGACATAATATCACAGCCGACGGCCGGTTCGTCCTGGTACTGGCGCCTTTTGCAAAGGTCCTTGACGGGTGAGTCGTTACCAGTCTGGTTTGCTCGTGCTCACCTTGTTTATTATTTCATCAGGAGGCATACTTTTGTCGGGACTGTCCCGTCCCCATCATAAACTTCAAACGAGGCGCGAATTTTGTTGGGCATCTGTGCAGAGTTCCAGGACATGCAGGCTTTTGCAATGAGACTCCAAATTCTCCATCTGACTACGAGCCAACTGTTGTATGTACATATATTCTTATTTCGACAAACCGAGAATGGCTCGAATATGTTTGATCAGTCGCGCGCAAATCACAACACATGGACGGGCACCGCTCCCAACCTAAGACGCCCATCGTTGACAGTTAACCTGCGCCATGCTGTGGGGGAGGGTTGCTGGAGAACACCGCCCGTGATTTTTCGCAACTATTTCAAAAAACGGCGTCGCGGAGCGCCACTGTTTTTGGCGCACCTTATCACACATCTTTTATGTACATGTTATGAAAATTTCAGACCGAGATAACTCAAGGTCAGGTCACCAAATCATTTCAAGTGGCGTCACCTCATAAAAAGTTTCAATGTCTGCCATAGCTACACCACCAAGTGACCGATTGCTTTGAAACTTTCAGCGATTGATAAGAGCAACAGTATGCCCAAAATGCATATCTCGGAATTTCGGTATCGGTGACCAAAGGTCAGGTCAGTTTTGCGACCTCCTCGTAGGCCGTCAATGGGAAAAAGTTTAAAGGCGCCTCTTTTGGGCGAACGTCATTCGAACCACTCCCAAACACTGAATTACAAGTAACTAGGACACACTGAGCATGGAAATGGCATCCGTGACCCCTGTTTATGCCCCTGAGGTCATCTCAGGTCACGAATGGTATCTAACAGTTTTTCGCAAATAACGTTTGATAGAGGCATGCTAGAGCGATGAAAACGCCTTAGATGTGTTCAGCTTGACGATACGGATCGACTGATATGAAACATGACTCTTTCGGGTCAGGTCATGTCCTTGACCTGAGGTCAGATTTTCAAGTTGACCTTTCGATGTCAAATTATGGTTCATTCGATCATCGATGGGTCTTGACGAGAGGAGCACGATGCCGGTAAAAATAAGCTTGTGCAAGGTTGAAGTCAAAGGCTATCGCAGAAAAAAAAAACTCCGAAGAAAAAAATCGTCTTTTTAGCAGTTTTTGCCCCTGCAGGCAAACCCGTTGACATTAGGTCTAAACTGAGCGAAATGCCCAGAAAGAGCGTTAATAGGGCTATCAAATGCGCTTTTCCGGGGCGCTCTAGCTCTAAGAGTTTCCGAGTTGTGCGTTGGCTTGTTGCAGATTGTCGACATTCTACCTGAAAATCGGTGAAATTTGGCCTTCAATGACCACTGGTAACCTGACCTTTGACCTGACCAAGAAAGTGACCGAAGTAATTTCGTCATTAATTTTGAAGCTCTTTCGAACGCTGCCTTCACGCATCGCTACGTGGCCCAGGAGCCGAGTTAAGGCTGAAACAGACTCTTTCCGCGTTCAGGAAATCGCATGCGAGAGCCTATTCAAATACATTGTAATTCTTTTCACATCAATCACTTGCGGGAGGTGCGTGCGATTGATGCGAGCGTGCTTCCATGTATTTGAATAGGCCTCGCATGCGATTTCCTGAATGCGGAAAGAGTCTGTTTTCTGGCTTTAGAGGGCGGGGATTTCAAACTCCCCCCGCCCAGCAGGGCAGTGTTCGCCACGGGCCGCAAAATCCCAGTTCAGCCCAGCCCAGGCCCATGGGTTCACAGCCCAGCCCAGCCCGAGCCCATTCATGGTAAAAGCGCCAAAGCCCAGCCCGGCCCGGCCCGTCAAAAATGAATGGTTTAAAAATTATCGACACCACACAGGTACCCAAAGGTATCAAAGAAACAATATTTTGCGAGCAGCATGCACAATGCATATTGCATGCGTGCTTTATTAACTCGTTTTTGAGTCTTGCATAGTAATAAGCTATGTAGTTGTAGTTTTTGTCTCAGTTGCGAACCCCTGACTCCACTTTACAGTTCTTGGCCCAGCCCATCCAAAGCCCATCGATTATTCATATTTGAGGGCCCAGCCCAGCCCGAAATCCAGCCCAGCCCATGGCCCATTGGGCTGGCCCGGCCCATGGCGAACACTGCAGCAGGGTGTGGAAATCTAGGACCCGCAGCGGGGCGCGGGTTAACCATAGGTTAACCTTCCTTTCAGTGTGGCCACGTTAGGTAAAAATTTGTTGTCCAAAATGCCCACTTTCGCTTTTTTGCCACTGTGGATGGATACTAGAGTTCGACGTATTCTCGGTTTGTCTATAGGGTAACTGTGGGGAAAACGCACCCCTGGGTTAAACGCCTCCCCTAAAAAAATCGTAGATCTTATCGACGGGTGGGTGTTTTATCCTGTCTTTCAGAACAGTCAGCTGCTTGTTTACGTAGTTCTCTATTTCCGGTTCTGCGTCTTGAGGAGCAGCGTGGGTAGATGCTGATGTTGGTTTTGGGTGTTGTTTTTGTTGTTTTTACAGAAGATTCCTAAGCTTTTGATGCCTTTTTTATATCACAAAACTTGCCATTGTGCACATCACTCAAATCTGCGTTTTATTGTCATTCTGTTGAATTTATTATGCTGCGGCGTTAGTGGCGCGTTTTTTGTCAATATTTTGTTGACCGGAAATGGAGTGGATGGGGAAAGACGCCTACTCGATGCATGGGGCAAGACGCCCCCAGTTTTCTGAAAGGGGGGCGTTTTGCACGGTGGTGAGAGTGCAGGGTAGCGCCCTGTAGGTCGGGGCCGAAAAGGCCTCTCCCTGTCCTTTTTTGCTGATATATCCTAAACGACTGCAGATATCGTCACCAAACTTTCAGGACTCCTCCGGGCATCCATTTTACACATTGCAACAACATTTTATTCCAAAGGCTATGATAGGTTGACCACAAATGACGTCAGAATGACGTCAAGTTCTGCCATGTTCATCATTTTCTGTTGATGGATGGGGTGGGGGCGCTTTGCACATGGGTGTGGGCGTATTACCCAGGGTGTGGGGCAAAACGCCCTTTTGTAAGGGTATGCGGAAACCTTTTTGGGGGGTTAAATACCACACGCAAGTGTCTTTTCTTGGTCTCAAATCGTAGTAAAAAGAATGAGCTACATGATGGTGCCCAAAGGTTTGAGTAATCTGGGTTGGGTTGAGTGTCAGAAGGTTTCGCGCTTAATGGGGGCGTTTTTGACCTATTCACCCTATTAGGAGCCTCTATACATAGTAGGTAAGCCAATGGCGGCGCCGATCCACTTTCTGATGGCATCACTCCCTCAGATTATGCTAACAGACTCCGTGTGGTCGCTGCCTGTTTCATTCACCTGGTCAAAAACCGATGATTTTGGTTGACAACCAACAAATTAACCCGTGTCGGACCGATGCACGGTAGGCGATCGGGCCGGTCTAGCATCGCGAAACCTCAAAAACACTTTTTCCGAAAATTGGAAAACAACGCATACTAGTCAACAGAAAATTCATCAAAGATTACGATTAGTGCATTTGCATGGCTCAGGAGACATTTTTTCGTAGACAAAAGTATCGTTAAAGACAGCGTTGCGTAACACTTCATAAGGGGGATTTTTACGCTCTTTGAATATTTTGCGGAACGATGAAATTGCTAGGTGTTGAGCATCCATTTTGCATGGAAAGTGAAATTTAGATGTTTAGACAATTCCGCCATAGAAAGCAAGTAGACAAAATCAGTTCAAAATGCTTTATAATTAGGTTAACTTTTTATATTTTTTTCTACCACTGAACATTACGTTCACTGAATTAACCCAGCCCAGCAAAAAAAGTTTTACGAGGATGAACTGAAAATAATGCTGTATCGCATGCACTAAGACACTATCTATTAGGGGAGCCAGTGAAAATTTGCAGCCACTTGCAGCCCTGGCATCCACACTGTAAAAAAAGTTTACCAACTAGTTAGTTATCCGGCCACTTTTCACTAACCATAGGCGTGTAAGCAAAACACGCATTTCATGACTAAGTGTGTTTTCAATTACACGCAAAAGGTTGAATAGCGTGTTTTGAAACACACCTCCTAGTTTTCGAATATTTGCCAGGTTACTAAGATAAGCCGTGTAAGCGTGTTTATTGACTATCATCGGTGTGTTTTGTTAATAACTAGAGACGTGTTAGGTAACACATGTGTTTGTCACACGGCCACTTTTCACTAGCTATATGCGTGTACGCAAAACACACATATTGCGTGTTAGCTAACTAAGCTGTGCGTGTTAATAAACTAAATGCATTTTTGAGAACAGGCGTGTAACTTAACTAATGTGCGTGTTAGTCACCTCTTTTCACAGCCGCCCCCCCCCCCAAAAAAACGAATCGAATTAAACTCATCAAACATGTTTATTCAAAACTGCATTCAAGCTCCTTTCAGCAAGCTTACAACTGCATACAGTAATATTTCTCTATTGTACTAAAAATGAACCTAAAAAAGTAATCTTCTGTAGGAAACTGCCGAGCGGCAAAGGCGTTCCGTTCTAAAGTTACGTTCTAAGCTATATATAAACGATCAAGGGTCAGGGTCTGATTCTACGACCACCCCCGCCTGTAAATCCGCACCAGCCATTGCACCAAACAGTCTCCAAATACGTATTAGAACATTTAAAAAGCTTTATTTCTGTCGTAGAGGTAAATGAAACTGCAACAAAAAGGCAAAAATTCTCTGACCGAACAATCGTGGCTCATATACCTACACAATTTTCTTTGACAACATATAGATGCAGTGGACATAAACCAGTCTGT